TTTTTTGTGATTATGTTCATAAGTTTTGAGAAAGTGGATGAATGTTACAATGTTTTAGATGCTGTACCGATGAGCTAAATGCTGTACGATGAACCCATTTAGAGTCAATTTAGTTCATCAATCCCCGAGTTTTCAGTTTTCCGAAAAATACGAATGACGTTCGCTTAAAGATAATTTTTGTGACGATGCGAACGTCACGACAGTTCGTTTGACGTCATCCAAACATCCTTCATGTCGCCACAAAGTGGCTCTCCTGCCACAAAATCCTCATGCTATGCATAAACAATCCGGCCGTTGCCCTGGGACGCATAAACCAAAATCAGATTAAAAGCCATGCCCCAGGCTCTCTTCTTCATCCATCAGATGGGGGCCACAGCCCAATAAACAGGAGGGGGGACGCGTGCATTACGGAGGAGATCCTTATAAATAATATTGTTGGTTAAAGTCCTCAGTATGTATAATATTATTGCTGTTATTGTTGTTAAAGTCCTCAGTATGTATAATATTATTGTTGTTATTGTTGTTAAAGTCCTCAGTATGTAAATAATATTGTTGGTTAAAGTCCTCCTACAGTATGTAGGAGACGAATGGATGTCGAGCCAATGTGGGTGGTGTACGTACATGGGAAGGGCAAACATTCCCGGGGGGTGAGGTCACTGCCAGATGCAGGGGGGGTGAGGAAGGGAGGGGGAGGGGGAGCTTATCCCATAGGGGGCTGTCAGGCGCAGCTTGGATCCTTCTAGCGCCTCTTTCTTATCTCTGTTTTTCGCAGGACCAAAGTGCTTTGTATTTTATTTTAGATGCGTTGTTTTCTGGAAAATGTCGGATAAAAGCGACAATTGTTTACAAAAAGGGTCGATATAATATATTATAACATGAAATTTGTATATTTGGGGTAGAGCCCTTCATTTAAACATGTTTGGTTAAAAACAACAGAATTGCTACTACAAAACGAAAACGAATCGCCGAAAGTCGAATTTGAATGTTGAACATGTATTACTATTTTAGAAGAATCGCAAAAAGTATTTTTAACCAAATAATATATTATAACCGTATACATCGAACGTCGATGTTTTTTAATATATGCAAATCTTGATATTGAATCAATGAAGTTCCTCAGCCAACTTTTTGCGATTCTTCTAACATCGTAATACAAGTTCAACATTTAAATTCGACTTCGGCGTTTCGTTTTCGTTTTGGAGTAGCACTTCTGTTATGGTATGAGATGGTATTGTAGTATGTAGTTTAGTATTGTATATAGTATAGTATGAGATGGTTGGGGTCTCTAAAAAATGTAATGAAATTTTTTAGAGACCTACTAAGTCTACTATATAATACGTTAGACTTTCTCATTATTATTTATTTCCAGGGAATTTCTAAAGCTTATTATTTCATTCATTTGTGTGCGTATAAATTCGCTTGGCACCGTTATTCTAACTATACTATTACTTTAACTCATATTATATACCGGTCGCCTATAAAACTGACACCAGATTTACTTCAACCACGGGCAAGAGTGGAGATGCAACCAATAGGTTTGATGTAACTTTATTATTCAATTTTGACGCTGTGTTTCACTTCCACGATTTTCTCATTAACCTTGTCTTTCAAAGTTCAAAGCTCTGAACCGCTGGGCTCCTGCGCACTTATGCCGTCTTATCCTTGGGCTGCTTTGATCGAGTTAATTGTAGCGGCACTCATGAGTCGCTTTGCAGGATGTTCATGTTCAGTATAATTGCAAGACATCCTTGCGACCATATCGTCTTCTGCGCGTCACGGCTTGTTTCTGGACCTTAGTTAATGATATTTGGCGTGATTATTTATTATTATTTAATGATTATTATTTATTATTATCAATGTTAATACATCTGATGAACGCACAAGAGATTTCCTCAAAAAACTCAGCATTTGCCGATTTTGTAGTAGTAACTCCCATAGTATAAACACAGTGGATCGATAGAGTATTATAACTGTGTTCATGCAAAGAACATTTCTTCACGCGTTTCTTTCGTTACTTTTCAACAGTTTTATTGCTTCTGTTTCAGATACATAAAGCTAAGTCGTCTTTACTATCTTCTTCAAATGAGCATGTAAACGATCACAACATTCACTGATCATTTAATTGTTGTCACTTTGTGTGAAGCATTTGGATTGTAATTATAGCGGTTTCAGCGTTTAGTAGGCCGTAGGCCTGTCGCCGATTCTTAACTTCGCAGAACATTCGCAGCATTTTGCGGTCTCGAACTCGCAACTCACTGCTACAATTCTGCTGTGCTTAACCGCCCGGCCTTCTTGCCGATTCTGACCAGAAACTGGCGCACAGAGCTGGGATCGAACCCGCGCCTCTCTGCGCCAATCTTGGTACTCTGAACTGTAACCACTGGGCCACCCTGCCCTTTGGAAAATTCATCAATGAAATACAGTGCTTGCACTATCGATGAGGTAATTCTTTTTTATATTCTTATACACGTTTTAATTGTAAATGAAAAGGAATGCAATCTGACATAAATAAGGATTGCGGTGAATATTTCCGTGAATATTTCATGGCAAATTTACTTACACTTTAAAGCAAATAACTGTCGAGACGATTTAGAATAACATAATTGAGTGTGTAGCGGTTTCGTTCGTAATTTTGAATTAATGTAATACAAATATTTAGAAATTTATAATTTGATTTAATTGTAAAAATAAAATTTGTTTTTACATGAACGTCACCACATTGAATACGACAATAGTTAACTTTAATCGCTACTCTAGTGACGACGAGTTGTGCCACTATGCTCCGCTACTCTAGTGACGACGAGTTTTGCCACTATGCTCCGCTACTCTAATGTAAACGCCGCCTGACGTCATGCCAACGTATGCCACTATGCTCCGCTACTCTAGTGACGACGAGTTGTGCCACTATGCTCCGCTACTCTAGTGACGACGAGTTGTGCCACTATGCTCCGCTACTCTAGTGTAAACGCCGCCTGGCGTCATTCAAACGTATGCCGGTGCGCGCAACTTATAACTGCGTTTACTAGATGAGAGAAGAGGAATGGATTTTGTTTAAACTCGAAGTACTAACTGATTTTGGAATTACAAATAAAACAAACGGGTAACACCCTGGAAATATTGCGTAAATAAAATTTTTATTCATTTTCTCAGTAGGAGTAATTAGCTTTGTTTGCATGCTAGAGAATCTTTTAATTACTTAGGTATTTAGAAATCAAATATTATAAATTTTGGAGGATTGCATTCTCCTGAATCGAATACGAGATGCAAGACGGAATAATATAAATATTTTCGTAATGGAAAGAATCGCCTTATACCGTCCAACCTCCGTTGCAATGATCGATTGTTGAATGAATCCCAAAGCTTCTTCTGTCAATTGTATTGTTCAAATTGTTCTTAATAAATTTACGATTTTTGATAAAATATCAACTGAAAGTTGCGTGACTTTGGAGCAAGAAATTTAGTGGATCGAAGGCTCTGCGTTTGCCTGCCATAATCTCGACAATTTTAGCACCCGGGGTCGTTTTACTCCTTCAAATCAAGCTAATTGGCTATAACATTCCACAATAAAATATTTTACTAATTCTCAACAGCCGAGCAGTTAATTAGCTGATAAATGGAGGCATACTTATTAGGTATTTTATTTTCCTGCAATTAACTTGAAGGTTCGCTCAGACAAAGAATAAGGAGAAAAGTATGGCGTTGTCCAGAATAATCAACATGCATTACTTTGAGACTGCATAATAATTATTGTCTTTCCTACTTGTGATTAATACATAACAAAAAATTGCACAAGACTTCCTGGACCCTTTTCGCTGTTCTATCCTTCAGAGCAAATTTTTATAAGTGCTTTCTATTAATAATTTACAAGGGAATCAACACTAGTGAGGTTCAGGCCTGATATGGGTTAGAATTTTCCAGCAGATTTATTATACGAGCTACGCGGTAATATAAATAATTTTTGTTACAGTCAAATTATATTAGAAAGGCTTGCCTTCACACCTTTTCGTATTTGTTTTCCTTCGTTAATTTTATTTGATTTTGTTGTCATTTTACTCACCTTGCAATTTAAAAGAATAATTAAGAGAAAAAATGTTGCCCAGCTCTAAGATTGATTTTTGAAGTAAGTGTTAAGAATATGTAGACAGCTGAGGCGCTGCCTGCATATACAGCATCCTGATATGCTTGATATTCATGGAGAAGCTCTTCAAGTGTCGCTATTCATGACTTATGACATTCATGGGCTTCACATCTCAGCCCAGCTGAAGCTGAAGCTCCAAGCATCAGCTGGCGAGACTCGGCTGAGGGATTTTTTTAGCAGACGAGCTCATGAAATAGCCTAGGGAGTTTAAAGCTGTCAGAGGCAGGAATTGGCAGTGGAGGGAAATAGGAGCTGTCAGAGGCTGAAGGGAAATAGGAGCTGTCGGAGGCAGGAATTGGCAGTGGAGGGAAATAGGAGCTGTCAGAGGCTGGAATTGGCAGTGGAGGGAAATAGGAGCTGTCAGATGCTGGAATTGGCAGTGAAGTTCCCTTCATATAAGCTGTCATGATCCTGGAATTGAGGGCTATTGAGCTCAAGCTTTTGTTTACGGGCTTCTCGTGTGAAGTTCCAGATTCTTGTTTACATGTTCAAGTTCACAGATTCTTACTTGCCACTACTATATGTGGTTTCCATTCGTTAACAAATACATGATTTGTTACAATGAAATATGCCCGCCATTGGCACAGCCTGCGAGTGGCACTGCTTGAAAGTGGCACTTTCCATCAGTGGCACCACCAGGGGCACAGCCCGCCAGCGGCACTGCCAGTGGCACAGCCCGCCAGTGGCACTGTCAGTGGCACAGCCCGCCAGTGGCACTGTCAGTGGCACAGCCTGTCAGTGGCATTGTCTGTGGCACAGCCTGTCAGTGGCACAGCCAGTGGCACTGTCAGTGGCACTGCCAGAGGCATTGTCAGTGGCACTGCCAGTGGCACTATAACAGAACTCGTATGTGTTGTCGCAGCTGACGGGACGCACGCACATGGGACGTCTGACGCAGAGCTGCGGTGGTGTCGCTCGTAACGTCGCCGAGGCGCTCACACGTCACGACGTACGCACGCTCTTCGTCTCGGCCGTCGGGACGGACGCTCACGCGCACGCTCTCGTCGCGGGGAGCCCGCCAGGGGTGAGTGTTAAGATGCTGTGCGAGCTGGTGTAGTCTTGTTATATTGCTGGGTCCATACTTTCAAAAATGGTTAATTGATCGTAAGTTCATCAGCCAATCATTGACGGCCTTTCAAGCAAAATCCACCAATCATAGACAAGAAAATAAAGCGTAAGTACTTACGGTCACTTAGCGAATTTTGAAGGTATAGGCCCTGGTCGTGACTCATGTTGTAAAATGACATTGCTGGGCAAAAGTGGGCATACTGCTTGCTGTGACTGCTGTGGCTGCATTATATTATATTGTACTATATTATATTATATTGTATTATATTATATTGTACTATATTATATTATATTGTATTATATTATATTTCAGCGTTCACCAACCAGATGATGGGTGCGGGTGTGGTGCGTGTGGAGACGCTGCCAACAGCTTCCTACTGCACCATCCTGGACTGTGGTGGTGAAGCTGTGATGGGCGTTGGTGACATGGACGTGCATCGCTGCATCACCACGCAATGGGTCAGCCATAGTAAACAAGACCTTCATTTAAATTCAAGATGATATCTTACAGGAATAAATGAAACATTTTGCCAAATAATTCTGGGCAATATTTTGAATCAAAATGTTCCTATTCGGAAAAAAATGGAATAAAATTTCCATAAATCAACATGACACTCATTTATGAACAATTCCTCGAAAAGCCAACATGTTTTTTTGCGGAAAAATTCGACTGGCTTACCTGAATAGCCTTGTTACTACTTGTTATTGTGGTTATTCACTTGTGGATTGTGGAAATTTTTATTAGGATATCGCATTTAATTTCAGGTCTCGAAGTTCCTGGACGCGGTGGAGGGTGCGCGGCTGGTGGTGTGCGACGGTAACACTCCTCAGGCGTCGCTAGACCTTCTGATGGAGACCTGCAGCTCCAAGGGCGTGCCACGTGAGTACCTGGGGCTTAGTGAGTACCTGGGGCTTAGTGAGTACCGTACCTGGGGCGCAGTGAATACCTGGGGCGTAGTGAGTACCTGGGACTTATAGTGAATACCTGGGGCGTAGTGAGTACCTGGGACTTATAGTGAATACCTGGGGCGTAGTGAGTACCTGGGACTTATAGTGAATACCTGGGGCGTAGTGAGTACCTGGGACTTATAGTGAATACCTGGGGCGTAGTGAGTACCTGGGACTTATAGTGAATACCTGGGGCGCAGTGAGTACCTGGGACTTTTTGAGGACCTAGGTCTCATGAGTACCTGGGACTTTGAATGAGCTGTAGCTGCTGCAGCTGGTTGTGTGTAGTGATTATCTTTACAGCTGTTGCAGGTTTTAATTATCTAATATCGCTAAAGACTGATTATCATTATTGCTGCATTAGTCCTTAAGTCTGCTGTTTGCGTGATAGACAAGCGCCAGCCATGATTAACTTCGACAAGCGAACCGATGGACAGCTTTACACGTGCGAGTGAAGTAGATCATGATCAATGCCTGCATTTTATCGATAATATTTAATATTTTTCGGTGGTTATTGATTATAGAATTAATAACTATCATGATTGCAATGCTCGGGTGTAATTATTGGTTGTGTCACAGTCCGGGTTTTAATTAAACTCAGCGTGAGTTATAATCAACTTCTTATTATAACACGGCTAGAGAGTAGGTGGAATAATGCTGGCTATAATTAACTGCGTTATTTTCATCCCTGCGAAAGTGGACATAAAAGACGTTTTATTTAACTTTATATTTGAGGTCATACTTCAATAATGTGAACAAATAGATTCTCACGTTAAGTGGAATAGATGATGAACATCCGTCCGCCGACTTTATCGATTGTTTGACAGTTGACATCCTGGATATAACATTCTACACATCCATTGTTTGACGCTTAACATCCTGGATATAACATTCTACACATCCATTGTTTGACGGTTAACATCCTGGATGTAACATTCTACACATCCATTGTTTGACGGTTAACATCCTGGATGTAACATTCTACACATCCATTGTTTGACGGTTAAAATCCTGGATATAACATTCTACACATCCATTGTTTGACGGCTAACATCCAGGATATAACATTACATACATAAACTTTTTACTGGTTTACATCCTGGATCTGACATTAGTTGGCAATAATTTGTATCCACGACGATTTTAATTGCACTTTTCATCAGGAAAAAGTCGTTGAATAATCGACCACATTTCCAGTAATTATAGTTACCCATATTTTCATGCTTTAATTTGAATATGTTAAACAAAATTAACTCGCAATACATACGGCAGGCCTGAGACGTTACGTTTTACAAGGAACAACTGGAAAAGTGCGTCTATTCGAAAAAAACCTATATACAAAAACGAGACATGATTCCATAATAAATACTTTCACTTTTCAATTTTTCAACGCATTTAATGAACTAGAGCAGATTGGCAACCGTAGGGAGGCACGGAGCTCAGGCAGTATCTGCGTTTACAACAATGAACAATAAACTATATTCTAGATATTGATTATCGTTAACTTATTGCTGGTTAAACTTGCTGAGATACGTACAACGCTTCTTCACATCGTCTCAAGGCATTTATATACTCAATAGGTATAACATTTTTCATCGCTAACTACTCAATACTAGTCAATACTCATTATTTTTCTTAGACTACAGAAGGCTATGTTTGTAGGACGGATGCTATATTCCTGTGTTTTGGTTCCATAGACTTTTCTTGAACTATGTACACTTGCTATACAAATGGGCGAAGGCGTCGGTAAGTGGCTTGCACTCTCTTTCTGTACACTCTGTATAATATCTGTATTGCCCAAAATGTGTATTTTATACACATGTATTACATACTTCAGTCTATAGCTGTGAATTTCAAATGTGGATCTAGTCAGTGCAGTGAAAAATTTCAGAAATACAGTGAAGAATTTTACAAAAAAATAACTATTGGGCTAAAGTAATTGTACAGCTACAAGTAGTATTTCGGAGGCTACCGCAGTTCGTTCCAGCCACATGACATTGAGAATCAGATTTAGGGACCACAAAAATTCATTATTCACGAAGAACATAGAATATTTTCTGAAGTAAACAATATTATTCTCAAGAATGCATCAAATATTTAACATAATTAATGACTACTGGAGGAGCAGAATGACATTTTTTGAACTAATCAATAAATTAATCCTCCGCATTTCCTACAAAACTTTTCTTCCACTAATGCAAATTCCGGTGGAAGCCGCTGATTTCGGTGAACAAATGCGTCTTTTATAATACAATACTATGCCCATTAATGTTGTATGATGAACTAAATTGTTTATTGTGAACGACTGACATGAATGACTTAGAGCAATGGTTCCCCGCTTATGGTACGCGTACCAATATTGGTAGTTGGTACGCATACCAATATTGGTACGCGGGAGCTACCCTAGTGGTACACTAACACCTTCGGGTTCGAGAACGATTTTAGTACACGCAGGGAATAAAATCTCACTGGGGAGAGGGAAGGGGGGAGGGGGTAACTGAAAAATTAATAAATATTATCACTCTCTTGCAATCCTTTTGTATTTCAGCTTCCACAGTAATTCAAATTTTCTTAGTCCGCTTTAGGATCTTTCTCAAAACCTATTGAAATCAGGGATTAATGGAAGCTTGTTGAGTCCGGTTATTATATGTTTAACTTTTTAATTAGACTTATATTTACTGTGATTTTGTGTTGTGCAGGGCCGATGAATAATTTGTTTTCTATGTGTTAAGCCTTTCGCTTATTATACAGTTATTCCTACAATGACAAGTTACAAATTTCGTCGGTTATTCTTTTTATATGTAGGCGTTATGGGAGTAAGCGGAAGGGTGAGATAACCCTGACGCTTGAGAATACACGCTCTGTTCTCGGGAGAAGCCAGGGTTAGACCCTTGGTAGGGCTGCTGCTGGTACCCAGGGTCTATGGGGATCTCCATGGGCTCTCCGCCGTTGTGGCCGTTCTGGTTCTCCAGATGAAGGAGGTTGTTGGCTGCTCTTTTACGGTCCTTCGACTTGTACATTTCCTATAACAATTAAAACACTCGTCAGACATGCTGCGGTTATTTCTTCATTCATTAACATAGTTATGGTACATTTACTTACAATCAAAAACAATAAACTACACTCAATATATCTTAGAAAAGCTCCTACCAACTGCGGATGAAGCCGCAACGAAACCCGATATTTATATTTCCTGAGGACGTGAGCGATATTGAGCCTCTGCGCCAGAACGAAGCACTCAAGATTTCGGGAAAAAAATTCTTGAAGGAAACTCCTCAATTGAAGAACATTTGCAGGCAGTGAAAAGCTGCCAGTTGCAAGTTTAGCAGTACGTAGTACTAGCTAGATATATTGTTTCTTCTAATTTTTCATTAAATCAGATATTATAGCTGCAATTAAGAACTATAATATAAGTGATTTACTTGGAGACTTAAAATTTGCCCGAAATTAACATCACAGATTCCGATATCGGGCGCTAAACGATTTCTTAAGTCGGTGTCTAATATCATTGCTCATTGGAAAAATTAGATAATCTCTGAATCGTGAAAAAAATATTTAAATTATGTTGATAACATGGGAATTGGAGTCCACAGTGTTTAGTGTGACTCACGTAAAGCATCATGAAGCCTGCGAAGCCGAAGAAGCCTCCCGAGAAGACTGCGAAGTAATAAGACCAGCTGAGGTAGTTGTAGTTGGGGTAGAGCAGCCAGTCCCTGGACCAGCACATCAGGCCGAATACGATCAGGCTGAAGAACAGGCACACCTCTGCACGCCATAACAAGATCTTAGCGAGCCTAGCGCTGCTGTTGGTAAAATAAATAGGATAAAGAAGGGCTCTTGAATATCGGTGGCAGCGAGCAGCGCGGCGCACAGGCCGATGATGCGCCTTACAACTCACCGGTGGCAGCGAGCAGCGCGGCGCACAGGCCGATGATGCGCCACTCAAACCTCAGCACGAACTGCATCGGCCAACGGGTGAGCACGAGGCTGGCGGCCGTCATGCACGCCATCAGGCACATGAGCGCGATGCACATGAACGTCTGCGTCGCCATGAACCACACTGCCGGTGGTAGCAGCATTAATTATTAAAGGATGCATGTGGGGCAATGGAAATAAACGTAACAATAAGTTAACTGTAATAAATACTAACTCGCAAATTAAGTGAGCGTTGTTCTGGGGAATTTCGATAATTTCCTAAGAGGTGCTCGTGATTTTAGCAGAGAATGAACTCATCTCTGGGCAAATGAAATGTACCTGACCGAAAATACATGGTATTGTGAATCACACTAACCTGTAACAATACACGCAATACTAATGCAATCTTCTGGGTATTGTGTGACTCACAATACCCTTTTTTTCGGGCAGGTAAATTAAGCGTAACTGGATAATCCTGCGTTGTTTTGGGATGAGATTTTTGTGTGTGGCGCCGCGACGAAAGCTCCACTTCGGAGGAGCTAATAAAAATTACACAGGCATTTCTGTTAACAAATTTCAAACTCTGAAATAATAAGCAAGCTATGATTTAGAATGAAAGTGAAATAGGTGTAGGTCGGGGTAACTGAACTAACCGAATATTTTTTCTTCGTTAGTTGATTTCTGTGAATAATCAGGAAAGTGGAGTGAATGTGAAGATGAAATGATTTGTGATAGATGCTGAATGTGAAGTGAATTCTGAACTTATTCTAAATGTAATTTAACAGAGAAAACCTAAATTTAATGACATCAAGCTCCTCGTCGCTCTCTGCCAAATTTTGCAAACAGGAATAAAATTAAGATATGAAGATAAGACCTTGAGTGACAATGGAAATGAATTTTACCAACACGAATCATGATAATCGGATATGGCGACGAGGTTGTGGCTTGAAATGTCAGAAAATATGCAATGAGAGCCGTGATTACACGCCAATAAATATTTGAAAATGAGTATTTTTGCGTGATTACCAGGCAGCATCCACTCCCAGATGATGCGGTATTCGCTGGCGAAGATGTAGTTACAACCGACGAACTTGTAGTCGAACTGATACTTGGGGTAGCGGTAGCCATCGAAACAGAACTCCCACAGCCCCATGTTCTTGAAGTCGCTGTACGTGTACTCGTAGGACACCAACCAGTACGGGCTGAAATGTACGCAAATATGGGATGAAATGTGCATAATTAAGAGCTGAAATGTACGCAAATATGGGATGAAATGTGTACAATTACGGGCTGAAATGTACGCAAATATGGGATGAAATGTGCATAATTACGGGCTAAAATGTACGCAAATATGGGATGAAATGTGCATAATTACGGGCTAAAATACGCGCAAATATGGGATGAAATGTGCGTAATTAGGTGCTTAAATGTGCATAATTACGGGCTAAAATGTGCATAATTACGGGATAAAATATGCATAATTACGGGCTAAAATGTGTACGCCAGTACGGGCTGAAATGTACGAAAATACAAGCTGAAATTTACACAAGTATGGAATGAAATGTGCATATCAAGTACACGGGATGAAATGGACAACGAATTCTATACCGGCGAAGAAGGCTAACAATCAATATTGACTATATTATGGAAATGAGAATCATACTCGAACTGATCAAGACAGATTTGATGTCAATAAATGTTAGCAATAGCTTGATACTATAATATTCATATCATTATATGAAGAAGCTGAAAGCATAGATATAATTGGCACTGTCATGTTCATTGTTAATAATTATATATAAGACAGGCTGAGAAGTAGTGCAGTGCATTGAGGATCGGATGGTATGAGCGAGGAATGGTACGGAAGAAAATTAGTAGTAACTAATGAAGCTTACTAACACAAAGTATGTTTAAATTGTAATACTGTAATATTCAGACGAAAAGAGTGTCTTACCTCGTAAAGGACATGACGAATAGGAGGAGACCCACGAATGCCACGATCGACGCGTTCACGAAGTTGGCTGAAAATTGAAACGAGATTAAAAAATTTACTAGAGATACTTCTGCTTTATACTCAGCCTATTGATCATTTTAATTTCCGTGGCTTACAGCTGGTCACAGATGTGGCCATTACGCTTTTAAATGGAGAAGAATAAACCTGAGCCTGGAAAAGCCTCCTTTCGATAAATGGCACGGAAGAACAGGTTAAAAACGAAAAGGCAACAATGATTGCTTCTTAAAGACTGTTTCTAAAGTAGACAAGTAAGGCTAGTCACAAGACTGGCTTAGTACAGTAAAGTAACAAGTCGACATGGAGTTAACGCCTCGGTACATGTTCACGTCCAGTTGATTAATTATTTATTGTTATTCAATTCTTAGTTAATTGATGACATGAATATGCATGTAAGTAGTTTGTAACAAAACTTAAAGTTACGTAAAAATATAGTTACAAGCTAGTTACAAAACTTACTTAACTTTGATTTTTTTTTGTTGTTGCTAACTTAGTAGTTTGTAACAAAACTTATAGTTACGTACTAAAGATAGTTACAACTTTACAAGTTAGTTACAAAACTTAGTTAACTTTGTTTTTTTGCTTTGTTACAAACTTGGTAGTTTGTAAGAAAACTTATAGTTACGTACAAAAGATAGATACAAGTTAGTTACAAAACTTAGTTAACTTTGACTTTTTTTTTTGTTGCAAACTTAGTAGTTTGTAACAAAACTTATAGTTACGTACAAAAGATTGTTACAAGTTAGTTACAAAATTTAGTTAACTTTGTTTTTTTGTTTTGTTACAAACTTATAGTTTGTAACAAAACTTGACAAGTAAACCTAAAGCAGAGCTTCACCTGGAGGGGGGTAGAAGGAGTAGGTTTTGGCTAGTATTGGCTGACCGATGGAGAAGGCTAGTGACGCTGGGTAACTAACGGCACTATATCCACTTAGGTGACTAGGTGAACTCTGGCTTCTACCAGCCATAGTTATATAGGAATATGTTTTGATGTTTCAGATACAAACTTTGTTTTGTAGTTTAGATGTTAGAAAACTGTACCTATGGCCTAGACGTTCTTAAGCAAATTATTGCGATTCTAATCGATGATTGAACGTTGATTTCATAATAATAGTAAAAGAATCTTTAACGTGAAATTTTCATGATTTAAATTATCATTAAATAAAAATATAATGGTCTATAGAAGTGGTTTGTGACGTGATTCTCGTTATTAATATTTACAATCACTGAAATTTGAAGAACAAGTCAACATAATTTATTACTAAAAACACATCGGAGTAAATCAACAGCTGGCAAAAAATGCCTGCTAGCATAACTAGCATAATAAATAAATAATTTAACCTATTAGTTAAATTCTTGTTATTAATTTTTAAATTAATATTTAACAATTTATTAATTCGCACGATACAATCGCTTCATAACATTTCCCGAGTTAAAGTTTCTTGTATCGCAAGGTTCCTATTCAGGACACCGCATGCGACCTCACGCTCCTTTCCGGCGGCGTGGCGATCCTGTTCCGCTAGACTGACCTTATTTCTCTCATTTGTTATATCTTTACATAATTACTAATCACACTATAGCTCTTTGATCAATACTTTACAGCAGATACTCTCTATACTCATCATATACACCGTACTCATGCTATAAATAATTAAAACAATTCAATGCGGCCATGCAGTGACTCGTGAATGAAAGCTCACTCAAGGTGAATGTGAGCAAGAATGAAGAGGGCGTGTAAATCACGCGCTTGTTTGTACATAACTTGTGATGAAACTTTGAAGCGAGTTCTGGTAGAGCAAATATTTCCTTAATTGTTCACAATGTTTGAGCGCAAGAATGAAAAACAAAGCAATTTCCGTGAATGAGTAAGAGGGAGGAGGCTGTGGACCACCGCCGCTGTTTAAAAACAATGTAACGGCTTCCATACTCGTTTTTTTTCATACAAGCATTAAAACACACACAAAACGAACACGGAAATAACAAAATGCACTTTTTTTATTTAGTTTGAGGCTTCAAAGTTATTAATGTTTGTGGAGAAAGTCGAATGAATAAGATTCACTATCACCGCGGAACGTATGCCACAGACCACCGCCATAAGTTGTTCTGAACTGGAAGCATGCGTAAGCCAGGTGAACTCAGCCAGTTTGTCAGCCACCTCGGACAGGTACATACCAATCCGCCACATGGCTGAGTACGCCACGACACTTGGCTCAGCCAGTCAGCCAGCTTTGCCTCACCCATACCAGCATCGTTGCAGCGTAGCATAGCAATAAGCAACGGCTGGTTCCAGTACTATTGCCCAACGTAAATTATAATCGTTTATTAACTTAATATATATTTTGAACGTATTGTAATGTATCTATCAACGTCAAATATACATCTAAAATAACTACGCAAATAATTTCAAAATGCCAATGCATTGTAGTTGTGTTGCAAGAACCGTTTTCTAACAATTGAATAAACTGGCAAACGATGGCAAAAATCCAGGAGGATTACTTTAGTAAGGAAAATTATATGGAGGCTTACCAGATGGCGGGAATGGAGCGAATCTGCCCTCCATGGAGGTCCAGGAGTTCCCATTGCGTAGTATTCCAGTGGAGCTTTTCAAGGATTTTCTGTCGTCCATAACACCTGCACACCTGCAACCTGCCACCTGCACCTCCTGACCTCGACTGCCGCCATGGTGTTGCTGCGTAGAGAATATATAAGAGAATCCCGCTGAACCTGTCATGAGGAGTGACTGATGTCACCCGCTGAACCTGTCATGTGAAGAGACTGAAGTCACCCGCTGAACCTGTCATGTAAAGTGACTGTCACCCGCTGAACCTGTCATGCGAAGTGACTGAAGTCACCCGCTGAACCTGACATGTGGAGTGACTGAAGTCACCCGCTGAACCTGTCATGTGAAGTGACTGATGTCACCCGCTGAACCTGTCATGTGAAGAGACTGATGTCACCCGCTGAACCTGCCATGTGAAGTGACTGAAGTCACCCGCTGAACCTGCCATGTGAAGTGACTGAAGTCACCCGCTGAACCTGCCATGTGAAGTGACTGAAGTCACCCGCTGAACCTGTCATGTGAAGTGACTGAAGTCTTCCGCGGAACCTGTCATGTGAAGTGACTGAAGTCACCCGCTGAACCTGCCATGTGAAGTGACTGAAGTCACCCGCTGAACCTGTCATGTGAAGTGACTGAAGTCTCCCGCTGAACCTGTCATGTGAAGTGACTGAAGTCTCCCGCTGAACCTCTGATGAGGTATGCAGTTCGAATCGACCTCCTAGATCGGACATATGCAGAATGTGTTATATATTATTATTTCATAAACTACTTCAGAATATATGTATCATTTCAACCGTATACGTGAACATGTAGCATCGCTATGTTCATTTGAAATTTATATTTTATTTATTTATGCTTAACTTTTCTTCTTCATTATTTAATTTGAGCCAAAATTTAATAAATAATGTAAAGAATTAACAACTAGCTTTGGTGTGTTCAGCAAACGTCACGTTCACCGTCTTCGGTTACATGGATTCATATTAGCACGTATGTAAATTGCAATTGAAACATCGTTCTTATGAATATATGCTAAATTTTGTTTGTGAGTGTCTTGGTATCGTGCCAGAATATTCCCAGGACCAGCAAATTTAATATTAGTGGGAGAGTATCAAGGCATTGCAAAAGTGGGAGGAAAAAAATATTATATTAAGAATTGAAATGTTATTTTCAAATTTGTTTGATAGAACGGGAATGACCGGGTTCAGGATAACGGAATTGACGGGATTCGGGATCACAGAATTTTAAAATTACAGGATATACTGAAACCAGGTTAAACAGCTTGTAATATTTAAATTCTTCCTTTTGATAACAATCGCGTTCAAATGTAGCCCTCACGAGAAAAATTTTGTCCGTCCCTGCTCAGGACCAGCGATTGGAATTGACAAATGACATTTCAGGATTTATAAGGCCTTAGTACATTAATATATTCGTGACGGGTTCAAAGGCTCAGCTATATGGTGTTGGGTCTTATACGAAAAAAGTAAGCTGGTTTGATTTATCCTACGAAATTCTAAACTTCATTATTCTTTTTGATGAATTTAAACAAATCAAATTTCCATGGAAATGGAATAAAATTGTAAAATAAATGTCATCGTTCACAGTTTGAATGGCACAAGAAATTTCTCTATAAGTTATATTATTGTTCCGCTTAATTATATATACTTTTATATTCCGTTATAAAATTAAGTCTGACTTCAATAATTCAGAATATAACGTGAGCAAAACAAGTTCATGCGAGTGAACGATTTCTAAGGTTCCTACCGCAGAAATTTCACGGTTAATATTCTGATTTATTAATGGTAAACGGTTAAGAATATTAAAGAAGATAATGCAGTTAAAAATACGTTAAGAGGAATTAGGAAGAGCTTATCGTCGACCATTTCATTCTTCCAGGAATATTGTAATTACACCAGCTCTCCCGTCACCATCGGCATCAGAGATAAAATAAAATGTGGATCAGCGTGTGTGAATAGAGAAGCTGCTCACATTTAAATCAAATTTCCTTCTCTTAGATTCCAGGTGCTGTGATGTATAACTCCGAATTCAGTCCATCTCGAGGACTTGATATTTAATCTCATAATTTCCGACGTCTGATTAAAATCTAAGACATAAGGGATAAAGTACACACAGTGACCAATTATAGCAATTTGTGCCCAGATTGGAGAAATTGGAAAGCTACTTCTGAAACGGTTTTTTGGAGTTTCTTAATGTTACAGATTGAGGTTAATTTCCTAAATTCAGGAGGATAAATTTTTAGCATTAGCATTATTTTCGTAAAACTTTATTACACAATTTTATTTACAGCTGGAAGTTACTCAGCGATTCAGAACGGTAGAGACAACAACGTTAACAGTAGTTCTTGAAAATATTCTTTTTATTTTGGAATGTCATCATTTTTAGGTACCGTTGAGTAAGTAATCAATGCACAAGCGTCAGCGCAGTGGTCGGCTGCAATTCAAAATGCATGCACGAGTGTTTTTTTCACGATGGATTTCTTATCAAATAACTCTCACTTGCGATTAAAAATTAAAATTATAAATTAAGATCGTAATATTTATTGATGAACATTTACCTGACAAAGACCACTGGGAAAAAGTAAGGGCAATTGCGCCGCTTATCTTTGATACATGCGTACAATCGAAAGATTTTAGTTGAAACTCACTTAACTTTCTGTGCGTCCAGAAGGTTTCAATAATTTATAAATTCATGGGAATTATGATTGGCAAGAAACTCGAGGAAGATTGACATGAGATCGCAGGCCATTAATAATTTCTGAAGGAGGTCTACTAAAGCGGTGGATAATATTTATGTTACACGCTCAGAGTATATCTAGTCCACAACGATTTATTTCATACAAAAAAACTAACATACACTCAGCACGATATTTTCTATCTTGGACGGCATCGGTCGAGATATAAATTCATTCAGCACCAAAACAGGTTACTCTGGAAGCTTGGTGCTGAACTTACAAACAAAACGTCTATCTTTGAACGCATTAACAAGGCATTACGAATAATTAATTATTAAAAATAAGTTAATTCTACAGTGGACGGGATGTTAACATTTTAATGCTATTTAAGGCATTTTTTAGCGGCCCAAGTGTATAACATTGCTTCATCACACTTTAATTAAATATCAATGATGATAAAGCCATGTGTAATCAGGCAATGCACAAAACTAATACACGATGAAGACATGTTTATAACACGAGGGAGATGACCATGAAGTTGATATTTGTAGCTCGTGAGATCGGGTTAGGCTTATCATTCGGACACATCAATCAGCACGTCACAGCGAGCGAAATATAAATCCCGACCACCTCTGGTCCCTCATATATATTGACATGCTGCCTCTGATGCAGAACTGTTATTTCTGTATACAAAAAAAGTCGCTTTATGCATGCTCTACCATCAGCACCCTTATTTCCAGTGTTCGAGGAAGGCTAAAAAATCTCTAATTTTAAAGTTCCAGCACAATACACCCTATGCTAACATGCATCGCAGTTATAAAATTTAAATCATTTGCTTCATCAATAAGAGTACTTCCTCTGCACCATATATATTGTTTCCGGTAATATAGCGGTAACTATGTTTATGCCGATAAAATCAGACATAAAATACACCGGTAAAATTTACAAAGACATCTGACCGGCGTCTTCAAGTGAGCACGACCAACAGAACCTCTGTCTTTAATCTTGATGTTAACGGCGGATACGAAGAGCCCAGCGTCGCCGCAGGCAGGTCTCCGACACCTCAAGCTTTGGTCTCCATGGGCAAGGACCCATGAGCGTTGATGTAGGAGTCCTTGCGTCGCTGTATCCTGAACTCCAACCAGAAGAGCAGCGCCGCCGCAAACTGCGCCACCACGCCGACCACGGCTGCAGGAGGAAAATGTGTGTCAGATGAAGAAATATGATGTCAAACTAATTACGGACACGAGATAACAAACATACTTGTTGGGGGGTTTAGGAGAAGGACAGAGGAGGAAAGACTGAACCCAGCAGCTCTCCAGAAGTAAGCTTTCCCAAAAATGATATAAAAACTTCCACATATGCAAAATATAGTCTTACTTATTAATAGTATTTTACCTGCATATCCTCAGGACTCTGATGTTTACTTCAGCAATTTAATGGAATCTAGAGATTTTATTCTGTTTAAATATAAGCTCAGCATGAGCTAAAAAATTTATCATCAAATTTATATAGATAACCATTTAAACTACTAACCTCTCAAAATACTTCTGTGCACTGATTCCTTCTGGACAATAAATCAGGCTCTTAAAAAATCCAAACCCCAGCACTCACCCAGAGCGTAGGACCAGGACAAGTTGTTGTCTGGGTGAGTCATCCATTGAAAGAGCCCATGCCCAACATACCCCAGCACTCACCCAGAGCGTAAGACCAGGATAAGTTATTATGGTCTGGGTGAGGCATCCATTGAAAGAACCCATGCCCAACATACCCCAGCACTCACCCAGAGCGTAGGACCAGGACAAGTTGTATAGTCTGGGTGCGGCATCCATTGAAAGAACCCATGCTCAACATACCCCAGCACTCACCCAGAGCGTAGGACCAGGACAAGTTGTTGTGGTCTGGGTGCGGCATCCAGCCTTCCATGGGGGCCATTGCCCCGAATATCACGACTGCCAGGAAGCCGGTGAAGACTGCGCGAGAAAACGAGCCTTAATTGTAATATTTCTTTATGCCGTGCGTAATAGATACAAGTCGATTTTTTCGACAATGAATTTTAAAAGATGAGTCGATCGTAACTGAAACTGAAACTCGGTGTTCAAATAAAACTTGTTGCGTTAGACATGCATTTTGTGCGAGACCACGAAATAATCCTCTGCTTCTTAGCCATTAAATGTGTGGATGAATTAAAGTAAACTATCCCGTGTGTCAGCATACGAATGCAAGATTATTGTTATTCATGTTATTTACTTCATTGCTTTTTAATGGAATTCAGTTGGATAATTGTGGCAAGTATTAGAGAGCATTACTCACACGCGATGGCCCCCGCGATGTAGGCGGTCTTAAGAACCTTCTTCTCGAAGGACTCCCCGGGACACAGGATGAGGATCATGGACATCGCACCCCCGACGAGGGAGAGAACGAAGCACAGCGTGTAGAACACTTGCACCACCACGAAGAACGCTGCAACACCACTACCTCCTTTAGGGAACATCCAACTAATGTGTGATGTAACTCATCACACATTTGTGGACCTCACACTTACTCACCTACACCCTCACAACAGGTATAGTTCATGACTCGGCACTAAGTGTTGCAATCACCTATACTAACGTTTAGGATAAAAAATTATCATTTCATTATGATAAAATGGCTATTAAATTACGATTTACTCGTAATAATAATTACATAATGACAAATGCGTCTTACTACGGGATGAAAAATAATATTTGATTGGGAGTAATAAACATAGTAGGAACCAATTCAATAGCAACCCTAATTCAGTTTACATTCAGATATTCAATACCCGTATCCAAATCTTTAATGTTTCATGTCTTAAGGTTGACTCACGCGTAGCCAGGAGCTCTCTGACGTCTTCGTATCCAGTAGTAAATCTGTCGAAGATCCAGCGACAGCCGACGAAGAGTCTCTCGCCGTGAATATCCTTGGGGACAGAAAAACTTCTGAAGCACTGCCACCACAGACCGAGCTTGTCTAGACTTGTGCCGTACGCCTTGGACTCCGCGGCCAGCCAGCTCCGTGTGAACATTGCGATCGAAATTAAAAGAAAAGCAGTTAACTGACATGCTACCGCAAACCATCCTGATGTGGTAGTGCGCTCACGAGGTGGGACCACCATTTTGCCTGATGCCGGTCGCTGATTTGATACGCCGGATTGTACTTTGAACTGGATGGCAATTTTTTAAATAATAGATATAGAAGTTTTTGAATTGACTAGTAGAAGTAGTAGTAGTCGTAGTTGCTTTACAGTAGAATTTAATTTGTTTTGCTTAATGGTTTGTTGACGAATTATGATACTGGAAGGCTTGAATTATAATCATATTACTAAAAATGTAGGATTGCTTTAGCGCTTGTGGTTCTGAGACTGCGGTATGAACTCACAGGAGTCTTGTAAGGACAGATGTTACTCATGCCTAGCATCCGGAATCACGTCATAATAATTTACATTCTATAAATAAAAAATATCAGTCCGATGTAGTTGAAATTCGGAGCATTCTATATTTTAAAATTTATTGTAAAGCAGTGTAGCAGGCGATTGTTACTTCCTGTAAAAGAGTAATAATTTTTGTTCATACTAATTTATTAGCTATATTTTTTATAATATAATAATATATAATTTTATAATACATTAAATTTATTAATAATTTGTATTTCTCGTCAACTATAAATTTACTGGAAATAAATTAGATTGCAATAATGATGAAAATAACGATGACTGTGAACAATAAACGTGCAATCTTTCAAACGCAGAAAACAAACCATTGAAATATTAAAAGGCTCTAAGGAAACGAATAAACTGGAGAGGCTTATGCATTAAATAATTAGAGAAAATGTTCTGGCAGATATAATCTATGAAAGTGAATATATAAAAAATATGAATAAATATTCATAACCTAATAAATGATTATTCAGCCGAGCACACCCGAAATCCATTACTTGATCTGCAGCTTCATGCTAATTTTATATACAATACATATAAGATTTGATGATTGATGTATAAGATTATTATATGTCGGCAAGTCTTTCTACCAAAGAATTAGCTTTGCAGCAACTGTCTAAGCACCATATCTAACTTAGACTTGCATAGAATTTCATGTGTGATTCCTGCTGGTCATAAACAAATTCAACAATTGATCGCAAAAGCATGCAATATGGTGGGTGGATTGTGGAATAAACGCGCAGTGCACTGCTCCAGCGATGCTGTCGCAACAATGTGGCTGTCTTGGGCTGGGCAAAAGTGTGCTAAGAGTCTTCTGCTGAGCAATAACATTGAACGATAAACAAACACTGAACGAGTAACGTTGATCATGCAATCAGACATTTAAATTCCTGCAGCACTGTACGGTGGCCCTACACAACACTACTACGAACCGTAACATATATTTTATTCTAAAGTTCCTACGACACAGCAGGTATCTAAAGTTATGCGTAGACATCTCGAAATTCTGAAGTTATTGTCACGAGTTGACGCTCCCTACAAAGAGTACATCATTTAGTAGATTGGTAAATACTAAATGGAATACGTAATGCCTGTATCATTAGGCATCTTCTGTAAGGTATTCATGAACTCCACCTTCCTCCACACCTTTGCCAATACTACATTGAAAACAAACCTGACAGCCAGGTGAAGCATTGTGGCTGACTCAGCCGGTCCTCAGCCACTTCCCCGCCGCACCTGAGCTGGCTGACTCACAGTGTAAAATTCAAACCCATTTTCCATTCACCTTTCGGCCGATACACTGCATTCCATTATTATATTCTGCTAACAAATAATGCGCAATTTCTTCTGGGTCTTCCAGGTAACTATTGATTTTTTTAATTATGACTGTTGCTTTAAAATTTTATTTGTTCGATGCAGTAAAGCAGATTCATCACTATAGCTATTAATACCCAAACCATGTGAAGCTCGAAGATACCGTACATTGAATCCACACGATTTCAAAGATTAGTGAATTATTCCAACTAACAACACGTACTTTAATATGAAAACCATTGAAACATACGAAGAATATTTCATACAAGTGATGAACCACCTAGAGCTGCAAGATGTGGCACAGCAGCAGCCATAAGGTGTGGCAGCCGTGGCTGATGACAATGGCTGAGCTGGCGGCCCATTCAAAAGAAAATATCTACATACAGTTCACCTCGGAATGTATGTATACACGCGCTCGACGTTCATCTTTCATTCAAGTTTGCTATAATGAATTGCCTGATTCAAGTGATCGAGATACTTCAGATAATTAAATTTAATATGAAACAAGTTACTGAGACATCAGAGAACAAATGTTCCTTTTTCAGTCACTCGGGCATCGAATGTTAAACAGACGATAAGATCCTTTTAAGAGCTTATACTCACTCCGAGTTAATCCTAATGATATGCAGTGTGTAACTAACATGTATTCAGGTACGTGATCGGTAATAATGTCAGAAATTCCATAAATCCTACTTCTGAACTTATTTCATTTGAAGCCCACGCTCAGCTCACTATAGTTATTTTCATGAGTCAGATCAATCATGCCATGGCAGAACGCTATCTGTTAAAAGCTACTATATTCTTCGCAACACATTTGGCACGGAAATTTAGGATATTTTGTCTCAATAAATACTTCGCTGAACAAAAAGTCATCCACGCCTTTACTGCATTAAAACACTGGTTAAATGAATAAATATGGGTAAAACTTTCTGTAGCTCACGCAGTTGGTAGGTAACATATAAGACAATTGATAGACTAGATATTAGTCATAATTGCAATTATATTTATTGGCATGAATATACAGAAAACGCATGAATATTCAATTTAGTAAAAATCGCTTTGCCAATTTATTTCAATGGTATATATTAGTGCTCAGATAGCAGACTGAAACAAAAACAAAATGCTAGGAGTTTAACTTCATTTATTTCGAGCGCACATTTTTATTCAACAATGATAATGATTGTAATAAGGTTGGATGCGGTTCCTCTGCGTGCGTGATCGAGCTTTCATACAAGCAAGAGCCTAGTAAAGATCAGTCTGCACAATTCTTATGTCAGGATATTTGACATTAATCTTAGAATATTTTGGAATAAGTACATTGATGGCAACATTTATTGGCATCGGAAGCAATCAGTCGTCAATACATTACGAAAATACTGCAACTATTACATGAATACTTTAAAACACTTCTTGTCCTGAGGTATAACCTTTATATAGTTTGTTAAATCTTACACATCTGTTTGAATAGGGAATTCAAGCGTGACTTGCCTGTAGTATATACGGGAAGAATACACTTTTTCTGTTTTCCTTATGTACATTGCTTATTCATAATGCCTGCCGAAAAATTAAAGTTGCCTAAGCCTTTTCTAAAGTGCAAGGGTATAATTAATAATAAGAACAATAATATGTTAATTAAGTTAACTATATTAACAATATATAACTTACAGCATCTCTTATCACAAATATATGGACGGATGGATTGCTTATTTGGTCGAGATTGTAGGCATCAAGCCATCAACGAACTAATTGAAACTTACGCGTGAAATCTTCGAGAAACTTGAAGTATTATTTATTTATTAAATTACTATCAAGGACCAAAATAATAATTTAGAGTGAAAGAATTTTGAGTCTGCATAAAGATAGTGACTTTACATTCATATGACTTATTCATCTACCTAACAGTATATGTAAAAGATTATTTAACATTACGAATCAATTTTACAAAGTCGAAAAAATGTATGCCATAAATAACTTCAGGAACTTTTTAAATTGCACGTTTCGAATTGTAATTTTTTCTGCAAGTGATCGCTCGCAGAGACAAGTAATATAACATTTTTCAGCCAATAAATTCAAAGTTTTCATTTTTATTGTTCACGAAATATTAATTTTTTGCTCAACATTTAAAAAATACATGGAATCACTTTCAAGTTTTGGTTTCCATAGGGAACATTCCGTGAGTGTTCCTGTACTGCTCAGCGCGCTTGGTAATCCTGTACTCCACCCAGTACAGCACGGCTGCAAGCAGCTGTAGGACTACGCCCGCTGCAGCTGTACATGCAACATAAAATTAATATCTTTTAAAAAAAATTTACGAGAAAGGAACGGCTGCTAAACACAATAGGAAATAAAATTAATAACATTTTCTTTATATTTGAATGCAAAAACAGGAACCATAAAAATAAAATTGAATGCAAAAACAGGAACCATTCTAAAAGGAACCATAAGTCAAATGTTACTATTTTCAACATCCTATGAGCAAAACATAAAGATCACCCGTTGCGCTCACATAGATTAATAGCCATCATCGGTCTACAATACGACTGGCTGCTGGCACAACTACCAGTAAATAAGAGCGTTAGTGGACGATATTAATCAACATTGGCGGGTCACTGACCTAAAGCAAAGGCCCACGAACAATACCACCGGCTGCTGGCACAACTGCCAGTAAATAAGAGCGTTAATGGACGATATTAATAAAGATTGGCGGGCCACTGACCTAAAGCAAAGGCCCACGAACAATACGACCGGCTGCTGGCACAACTACCAGTAAATAAAAGCGTTACTGGACGATATTAATCAAGATTGGCGGGTCACTGACCTAAAGCAAAGGCCCACGAGAGGAAGTTGTTGTCCCAGTGCGGCATCCAGTCTCTGCTGTCTCCCAGGGCTGCGAACACTAGCACCGCCACGAGGCCGAATACACCTGTGCAAAAAACATGTGCACTTTATAAATGTCGATTTGTTTATTATGTGTTTTTTTTGTATGAAAATTATATGTGTAATAATATATTGAAGTTTATACATTGCAGTAATTTATGAAAACGGGTTACTGAAAAAAAATGAAACTCGTCATAAACTAATTCAGCAAAATCAACACATTTTCATGAAGATAACCTACAAATGCTCGCTTATAAAGATCGAATAAATATTATTACCATAATCATTTGAGAGATGTATTGAAGTTGCTACACAAATAGGCTATTAGTTAAACAGTAATAGCAGATCGTTATAATCAATTAGAATTGCAAGAAGTGATAAGATAATATAAATTTATATCTATTTCTGGTAATGAACAATTGCATGAAGTGATAACATCAAGTCATTCTATAGTTTATATCCTGTCACTATAAAGAACAATTGCAATAAGTGATAAGATTAAATCACCTTGTATCTCCTAAAAATAACTAGCAACTACAACAAGAGATGAAATTAAGATCACATTATACCCTGAGATGGGTATATAGTAGCGCGCTACATTTAAGCAATTGTAGCGGTAGCGGTAGCGGCCGCTACATTTCAAAGTAGAACTGCCCAGCTTTGCTTATACCCCTTCACAATAAAAGAAAACAACTGCATGAAGTAACAAGACCAAATCACCTGCGACGGTCTGGTCGACAGCGAGCAGCTTGAGAAGTCCTTTCTCGACGTCCTCGCCGGGGCAGCAAACCAACACTCCTGTGAGCGCGGCTCCGATCAGCGTCAGCACGAAGCAGAACGTGAACAACGTCTGCACCGCCACGAAGAAGGCTGCGAAATTCAAACTTTATTCAATTCAGGAATTATTTTTAACACGTTTTTCTTAGCTTAGCTTCGCGTTTGTTTGTTTTTTGTTAACGTTGACAACGAAAATTAGCCCACTTCTGATTGTTCTAGAGATCTGAAATTCAACATGCAGGCTATTTTCGCCTAACAATTTCAGATACAATCATAAAAACTAGTAATTAGAGACCAAAATTAGTTTAATTGAGTAAAGTATGTATATATATAGTATATATATAGTATGACGTGCGGGCGCTCACGTTATAGACGAGCAGGCGCTTACGCTGCGTATCATCGATACGTACGTCAAGTCATACTTAAGTCTTAATCGTTTTTCTTGTGGACTAAAAAGTAGAAAATAAAATACTTAAAAAAACTTTTAAAGAAACACGTTTTCCTTGTGGAGTAAGAAGTAGAAAATAAATTATGGTTCGCCCCAAAAAAAACGTGGGTCGGGCTGTACGTTCACCATCAAATTTCCAAAATTTAAGTGTTGTGTGCTTTTCGCTTTAATCATAAATCTGCCCGACACACGTTTTTTTGGGGCGAACCATAATTTATTTTCTACTTTTTAGTCCACAAGAAAAACGTGTTTTTTTAAAAGTTTTTTAAGTATTTTATTCTTTTTTCCGCACGTCTTCCACATTCTAGAATGATTGATGATATTGAGTGTGAACAGCGTCTGCACTGCCAAATCTCTGATAAATCTCAAATATATAAGTTATAAGCACAGAGCAATAACCCGATGCGAGCCAAATACAAGAGTAACTTTACGCGGGCTTATAGGGAATCAATTTATGTTCAACAAGTTGTCTATTGCACTGACGTTTCCTGATCTGGTCGTCGATGACGTGCATCTCTTCACTGAGAGTCCAGTAGCAGCCGTCATAGATCCTGTCGTAGAAGTAGCGGTAGTCGCGGTAGTTACGGAAGCACGCCTGCCACAGGCCTGTGTAGTAACATAAATATTGTAATATAACTTATAAATGATAACGTAAACTTATTGCAAACACATCCATTATTTTGCCGTATTTCTCATTCCAAAACAAAACAATTTTGAAGGATAGCGCTCAGAAACTATTGATGATCATGCAGTGAGGGCCGGAGTGCTACAAACTCCATCTCCAAATATAGTTAGGACTTTTTGATATATATTATGCCTCTTAGGTCAAGTATTATTCCACCCTAAGCCCACATCACACTATACATTTTCATCATCTAGGATAATGACTCAAAAACTGTTTACACGACCTTGAGTATCCTTAGAGATTCTACTCACCTAAATTAAGGAACTCCGGCTGTTCAAGGCGCTGGTCATTAGCGAGCCAATAAGGCGATGCAAATGAGATGAAGATGCAGACAGAAGACACCGCAGACACGACGATGCTCCACGGATACGTGGTTGGCTGGTAGCTCTCGTAGTCTGTCATGGTTGTGGTGCAGTCCTTATTTGCACGGTGATGATGAAATACTGCACTCCTATGAGTTTGTAAATAACGTGTTATGTTGTATAAATACCGTGTTTTGAGTGTATAACTGAATTGTTATGGTTATATGTATAACTAACGTGTTATGAGGGGGTATATACTGACGTGTTATGGATGGTGTATAACAGAAGTGTTATGAGTGTTATTATTGTGTTAGGGGAATAGCCAGGAACGAACTAATCTAAATGGAAAATTAAATACTTATAAGTTTGGGCATTAGTTAAGTCTGCTGAAAATATATGAACGTTGATGTGCGAGTCAATATTCTATTCAATATCATTTGCATTGCTGGCAGCGCGGCAGAGGGAAGGTGAAGTCGGAGTGAGGGAAGGCGAGTACTGTCATCACCCTCTGGTAACGTAGCACCTTAATGAGAATAATCACCATCATAAATAACATCCTATAATTGACAAATAACGTTATTCCTATATGAAAGTCAAGCTTGTATATCATTTTCTATGTCTGTTCATCGCCGCTGATCAATACTTCTGAATTAACAAAGTAAATCACTAAAAACTGTATCATTGTTGAGGCGTAAACACATATATACTTAATTTCTTACGCAATTGACAATCAAAAAGAATTTAGAACTATCTACCAGCGTTGTATCTCATTAAATATCGAAAATAACTAAAGATTTGAATAAACGGCAGCACTTGAATGAAGAAAACCTCGTTAAAATAGTATCAATCAGATTGATACTACTAAATGAATTTTGGCTGTAATGTTATTATTATGAAAACACAGAGAGACGTTATGACACTATGAAAATAAGATGAAGCCTGATATACATCGAACATTTTATTACAATTGCCTCTCGAATAGAAGAATGCAGACCTTATAATCCCCACTTTCAAGCAATTATAACCGTGCGTCACAGCCCATCAACAGTGAAATTTGCACAGTGAGCCCCGAACTCCTTACCTGCTTATGACTAACAACCGAGCGTGACGAAACTTCTACGAAATCTATAAAAAGTGGTTTCAGTAATGATTTTTTAAAAACTGCGGATTTATTTGTGTTACATATTACAAGCTTTAAAATTCCAAGCTATTTGTTATCAAGTCACGCATAACTCCAGCAGAAACATCAGTGCAAGTCTAACCCACCTCCTAGAACTCTTGGTTTGGACTGAATTCACGGCATGTGCGTACGAACAAGCGGACGCTCAAGCTTCTGTGTCGAAATAATTAACACATGATGCATAACGCCTAAGTATTCTGAAATCCATGATGCATAACGTTTAAATATTTTCTATGATTCAAAATTTATATCTTATGCAGTTTCATCCAGTAGTTTGTAACCCTTCATATATCGTATTGGTTAAGTGGTATGATGCTCGTAAATGGCTTTGCGCTGGTGCCACGTCTCGTCAGCCAGGTGAAGTTCAGGTGCTGGAATGGATTTCGTTTTCTATGTTGTCACGCGCTCAAGGTGTTAATAGAAAATGAAAAATTAGTTACTGTTTAATGGGAGACCTCGATGCATGCTTCTGTAGTGATCTGAAGTTCTTTGCAAGCTGGGTTAGTCAGTTATGGTCTTATGGAAGCAATTTATGCACTCGGTATTCAGAAAAATTTATTTGGTATTACATCTATACGGTATCATGTGTCATATTTTTATACGAACCGAATAATGTGACGGTAGAAATGTTTAATGGTCGCGGAGAGTGAGGCACTTAGAATACTATATTCGTAGAAATTATTTATATCTGTTCCTGGAAATACATACCTACAAATCAAAATGGACAAAAGCATCGTTGACATCATTGAAATTCCTTTACCCATACCTTTTACTAGCTAGATATAGAAAAGTATTGACGCGAAGAAATTGCAAGTTCCTTACAAAAAAATATAGATGCTTTGAATTATTTTCTCAGTGTGGTTTGAGCCAACGGATGTACTCAAAGCTCACAAGCCCTGGGCTGGGAACTTGAGACCAGACACAACGGCGGGCTATTCACTAGCGACTACAGGCGCGGTACAAGCAGAAGCAGGCAACGGTAGGAGCGACGAAGACGATCAAACAATGCGAACACACGACGGTCGCGCCAGCAGAAAAGAACACGGAACGCCGGTCAGGCGCGGAGGATTGATGTTTGCATCTCCAAACCTCAACGAGCTACGCATCATCTGCAACTTCCTCAATCTAGGTAACGTACTGACAAGTTTTTATTGGTGAAAAATTGTTAGGTTACGTAAGCTGTGAATTTAGAAGTAGGTTATCGCTTAGCTGATCATTATGTATTAATCACAATTTAATTACTGCAAATGAAATCCATTTTTATAATGACTATCATCTCAATTAAATAATAATAAATGAAATTAAATGTAGATTCTCTGTAGGCTATATATGACTTTTGAAGCCTAGGTTGGTGTCGGTAACCTTTCACCGCTCTTTCTTCCAAGTTGCCTCGAAGATAAATACATTTTTGTTATAAATTTGGCAAGGGTATCTCTTAGTTCAAACTTCTACGTGCTAAATATCAGCATTAAGCTTTGCTAGTGATTTCAGCTTTTTGAATGGCATTACGTGCAAAGGTGGGTGGTGTTATTGAAGCATTTCAGGACCAGGTGGGTTTCAGCCAAACAATTTGATATGTACTGGAAATAAACTTCTATCATCCAGTTCATACCAGTAATGTTTCTAACATCTACTTGACGCCACTGGCACAGTCCTTGACCCGTCTACGTTCATGAGCACAACTTTCATGTCTACATAACCTCAGTCACCTGTGCATAGGGAGTCGGTTCTTCAAACTAAAAATCAGTAGATCTTATACCATTAATTTGATAGAAATTTTGTGTGCCTCAAAACGCTCTAGTCTCATTAGCTTGGAACTTGAACAATTAATGATTATGGATTTTAAGTTGCTTTAGCTGCACTGGCACGGATAATTCGATATGACTGAGCTTCAAAATATACACCGAAGACGAGATGCAGAAAATAGTCTTAATACCCGATACGCCCCGGAGAAATTGACGTTTTTTGAAGTTTGTTCGTAGCGTTCGATTTATTCGTAATAAAAACTCAACATTCAAGGACACAAGTTGCTCCGACACTGCACGTATATTCGAATTAGGTTTGAATTCACGTTTGAATGCGAATAGGTACGTTTAGCCTTTGGGGCGCCAACCGTCCAGCAATAAAACCAGTTAAACGGCACGAACAGTTTTCAAACACATACTCTCGCCACTTTAATTGTGCTTTAGAGGTGTTAGAAAATTAAATCCAGGTGAATTTATCAGTTTTTCATTCTTAATAGCAAGAAGATGTCCCCTAACACCGATTAATGTATAAAGTATTGCCACTGATCGCTCGTAGGTTAACCGTATAATTCCTCCCTGGGAACAGTATAAAATTTTGAGTCATTTAATTTTGAAATTAGCACGAGCTTATAGTGATATTTGATAGACACGAAAAATATACATGTACGCATAAATACTATACCTATGTAATACTTCAAACGCACCTTTCTTGTAACTAACATTACATTGAGTTACGAAAATTGAGATAGCAAAAAAAACTTCTTACGATTTTGGTAAAATTTCATCAAAAGTACTCCAAAATATTTTAAAATTCTTGATACGTTTTCAAGATATCTCGCCCAGTGAACTGAAACGTAATATTATTAACAATGCAGCCACTTGATGACCCTTAGAATTCGCGAGAATTGCAGCGAAGTTCCTGGTGATGTTTCTATAAATTTTTTGCTGCTGTCAAGTTGAACATCACTACAATGTTTGTAACATCTTATATTCCATTTCAATTTCAATAATTTTTTGATTATATTATATGAATACTAAGTAAAAATAACGCATTATGCAAATGTATGTACGCGAAAATAAGTTATAGGTTCTGATGAAAATCTGCGATGTGAGTATGGAGAAATAGTGTTGACGGTTTCTGCTCACGAGATACGTACAAATGATGACCTAATCGAACGTCAGTGAGAGGTTTTCCTTATACGGTACATTATATATCCCTACTCAAAGTGGCAGTTGCATGCATGTTTTTAAGACTCGCCTCGGATATAAACAATTTTAAAATATACGCAAATCAATATCCAAGTAAGTCTAAACTTGAGGTGAAAATAATATATAACTAAATATTCGTGAACATGACGCCTGTTTTCGTGTTTAAACGGTCAAATTTTCCTATACTACGCGCACGGTGAGTAGTTTGTCAGCTTGGTGCTCGGAAGGCTTGCTGTTACTGAATACTGAGCAGCGGTCAAACGTTTTTATTGCAGTCTTATTTGTTTTGCATCTTGCTTTCTCTCTCGCTTTGTGGACCTTGGCGACAGGGATGTCTATAGATACCAGTGTTGCGGTGTTGCCGTCTAGTGCTCTCTAACTGCAGAAATGCAGAAATCATGTGGCGTGAAGTTGAAGTAATACTGTTCGTACTTTGTGGTCGTGCATGTGCTTTGTTGTTGTTAATTGGGGTATGAGTAAGCTTATAGATTATGAAGAGAAAGGCAAATGCAGCTGATGTCATTTATGAAGAACATATAGCCATGGTTTTTCTTTCTTAAATTCCTATTACATATTAAAGGGCAGCCGCATTTGTACCGGAAAAGTTGCATATGAAGTTAATTATGCAATAAGTTGTGTTTGTTTGCTCAGTGTTTTATTTTGGGGACAATACTCGTTTTTTCGTTGTTCCGGTCTTTCTGTCTTTAATCAAGTTGAATTATCTTAGAAAGTTTCCGGACTGTAGTATGTTTTCTCACTGGACAAGAATTTATTCCAGTAATATGATAAAATTAGACTGCTTTGATAGCGAAATAAAATTCTAAACATTATTCTTTTTACGTGCAAGTGCTTGTTACTGGAAATCCATTAGGATATCGCACCATCTCTACCAAGTCTACTTCGTTCTGGCATAAAGATATTGCTTGGTCTATTCTCAAGAAATTCTTGTTCTGTCAAGAATTTTCTTGTACGGCACAGAGACTCTGTGCTGACAGGCTCCCTCGACCGGTCTAGGATCCTTTGCACTTCAGTGTTTTCTGTGACAGAACGCTTGCAGGTGGCTCTGTTGTGAAGTCCGCAGGTTTACCTGCAGACATTATTCATTTCATTGCCATCTTGAAGTATAGATTTCACACCACAGCACATCCAAATGTGCAATAACACTCAGAGCAATTTCAGTTCGGCGCACGTTCATTCAATTGTAAAATTGATTTATATTATTTTCGACAACGAAGTAGTTTTGAGGAATATATTACCATGAATATTTTTTTCGCTCCGATTCTTTTCACTCACCACAATTGTTTTCAGTAGTCGTTTTCAAAGTGTTAATAATACACAATAATTTAAGAAACTTTTATTAAACGTGTCATATCGAACTTTATTGCTTTTCATATTTTTTTATTGAATTGACACTTAGCACAATGGTCGATTTGGTTATGATTGTTCTGTGCTCCGTCAAGTTCATCTTAACCATCGTGATGGCAGCGATTGCAGCGATAGCAAAATGACACCAACGCTCTGTGAGAATTAATTAATTAAATAAGTTTTCCCTTTTTCCGTCACCTAGCCAATGATTCTTCGCAAACCTGTACCGGGTCAGCGACCTTTTTTAATTTCTTGCAGCAATATGTTTCTTTCTTTCTTCTATTTGGTGTGGCTTTTTAGTAACACTTATAAAGCAGGAAGAAATGCCAGAGATTTCAATATTCTCACTGTATTTTTTTTGTGGTTTCTTGATTTGAAACCTGAGCAGAATTTTAGGTTTGGCGTCGCGCCTACTGAATTATCAGCTGTCATAACAAAAAAATGCTAATGAAAGTCAATCATTTGCGGAGAACAACGTCTACTATAAATTTATTTTACTCTATCTTCATCTCATAACAGAAAAAGTTAATGGAAAATTATTAGATGTCATCACTTGTTTGGTTTTGTGTAACAGTTCTGACGTTCAAATTAACTTGATCATTAAATTTAGTCTCTAAACAGAGATCATATAACGTCCTCAGCCCGTTACTGCAGGACTAGGTGTCTCAGATTCATAGCTGATCCTGAGGAATCGTCATTTAATGCAGATCGGATGAGCAAATTTAGACAATAAATGAACTAAAATACCCCAATATCCAATGAATATTTCGAAATATTTTTCATAGGAAATTTATTAATTTATATGAAATTCAACAATTACAGGCGACGTGCCCCCCATTCCATCGGAAAACGTGGATTTGCCGAACTTCCTGAGCCACATCGTCGCCATAACCGCTCCTCTCTTCACCTCGCACAATACGAAGGCACTTCACAACCATCATGTCGGCGATAATGTGGCACCTCCAAACAATGAACGTTGCATCACAACTCAAGTTTCCTTCAGCTCTCAAACGTTGACAGAACGTGGAAAGGGAGTCGAAAATTTGAATGAACGTAATCAGAGTCCTAAAAATTCTGTAAAAAATGGCGGATCATTTGAACATATCGGAGACAAAAATGCATCACCCGGCGGCTCATTATATGGTTCACAATTGATTGAAAATACCAGGACAGAGCATGGAGAAGATATCGTAATGGTATCGCCAAAATCGCGGCAATCCGGAACTTTGACTCCGGCGATGACTGCGCTCATGGTGACGCTGGGGCAGCACGGCTTCTTGGTGAGTCATAAGCAGAGCCCACACAAAGACGAATAATACACGAATGAACATTAAATAAACCCGGATGCACTAGCTAAAAATTTGATTATGTCTGGCCGTCTTGGATAAAAATCTAATAAATTGCAATGACAAGCATGTTCAATACATTGAGTAATTGTAGCGCCGCGTAAAAATTTGATTGAATATGCCAACACCAGTTAGTGAATATCTCTGTTGGCGGCAACTTTATTTCGGAATGATAACAAATATTTACGCTATGTAGTGGCTGATTATCTATCTTTCAGTAAATTGGCCATGCCAATGTCGATGAAATCGCACACTATTTTTCATTATGGTTAATTTCATAATTGGTGAAGTTTTTATTGTGAACACTTCAACATTGCAGGTGGTCCGACGAGCTGTGACGGGCGAAGAGGACTCGCCACTGATGCCATCCTCAGCAGCGACGACGCGTGGTCAAGGTTCCGACGAAAGAGGTGAACTTATAATTTCTTTCGAAATTTGAGTTTCAAGATTAAGAAGATCTATAACTAAATTTTATTACATCTCAAGCGATTACCAAATCAATAATTATTGTAGGCCGGAAAATTGTCTGTGTAATGACTTTTTCATAAATTCGTAACAGTGAAGACTAAATTCTCAGGCTGTGAAATTTATCTGTGCAACGAAACTTAGGAATATCAAATGAAAAACGGGGCAACATCAATTATTCTGAATAACCATGAGGAAATAATTAATTCTTTTCACCGTGTGCTGAAAGAACCATAATGGAATGTATGAATTAACTAATACCTAGGCTTGCTGAATTTCTTTCAACATTAATTTTAAAGAATTATCAAGTTTCAAGAGGTGAAGCAGATCTGAGGAGCTTCACTGTGGATGCATGAATTCTATTTTAATTTATCTTCTATATGAGACATCGCTCCTCCATTTTTACAATTTGATGTTCTTTGTACGGTATTACGTATACAAACGTACCGTATACGTATATGATTTTTATGCCAAGTTAATTTGAGGACGGGGGTCATTCCTGGTTATGTTTCTCTATTTACGTTCTCCTTTTAATGTTTAATTTTCATTTACTTTTCACTATCATTCATTCCCTGCTCAACAACTTTGCAGTCTTATTTCATTATCGCTTCAGTTCTCTTCCTCAACCTCGGTACTCTCCTCCCACATTCCCCGTACTGTCGTAACTGTCCACCCCCAAGCCTCCTAACAGCCCTCCCTCCGTATCCTCGTAACTGTCCACCTCCAAGCCTCCTAACAGCCCTCCCTCCGTATCCTCGTAACTGTCCACCTCCAAGCTTCCTAACAGCCCTCCCTCCATATCCTCCTAACTGTCTACCTCCAAGCCTCCTAACAGCCCTTCCTCCGTATCCTCGTAACTGTCCACCCCCAAGCCTCCTAACAGCCCTCCCTCCGTATCGCGTTTCAGGAGAGGTCGTTGGGCTTCACTTCCCACCACCAGCCTGCGACTCCGTGGTGTCGGTGTCTGGGGCTGGCGACTGGTGAGGCTCACATACAGCAATTCGAAACACATTCTCTAACCTGTTACAGATTATCGTATAGGGGTTCAGATAAGGTTCACTTCTCCAAATGACAATATTTTTGCAGTCAATTTGCTTACGTTGAAAATTTGGAGAAAGTTAATTTTGTGCAATATTAAATGTTTGAAAATTTTGCAGTATAACCACAGTAAAGGGGTTAAAAAGAATCCGCAGGAATAAACCGAACCATTACCAACCATCTTATTCATTATGGTTCAAATACTTATTAATAATGATTTGGATTTCCATAATTTAAAAACAAAAAGAGGGCACTAAATAAACAATAAAAACCAAAACTGTAGTAGCACTTGGCTCTGAAAGCAAAATTTTTCGTAACGCGGAGAATTCCATTTTAATTTTAGAGAAAAGGCGTAACTAAAAAACGGCACATTTTCTGTTTGCGCATCACGCCAACTCCAAATTATTATTCACAGTGCTTTGTCGTAATTTATGACGTTGTAATAGACGATTTGACGCTTGCTAACGTCAGGTCACGCGAGAATGTAACATTACTTAAACACAAGCTATGTTTTTAAAATAAACGTTAAACAACGTTAACGTGTTGAAATTTCGTTTATTCTTTTACGTCGAAAATAATACTTTTTTTCTCTCGATAGTCTGGCCAGCGGTTTCATAGCAGGCATGCTGCGTGGCGGGCTGGTGTCGGAATGCGCGGCGGCGGCCACCAGAGCGGCGCTGCTGTCGCTGCAGGCCACCGCCGCCGTGCCACCAACACTCGGCGCGCCTCCAGCAGTCGTGGGGGCAGACAGACTGGCCTTCACGCTCGTTCCTCACCGGGACTGAGTCGGACAATTCCTCAGTAGAAATGTTTTCTGAATTACTTACTTAATGCACCATAAGGGATATCAACTTACTTTTAGTCAAATTCATGCCTGTATCTAACATTTCAACATATGGTGTAAACGTGGGGATTTTTAAATTTACTTTATTTTGTTAATTTAGGGAAATTTCAGAATGAGCGCACTGAAAATGAATTCAGCCGTGCTTACGTCTCTCACATTCAATAAACAATGCAGACCGTTCAAAAATAAAAAAAATTGAACACTGAAATTATATATTTTTATCAACAAAATACCCTTTAAGTTCAATTACGGTCACTTTCTGCACAATATACTTATGGTGAAATATCTTTAGTAGCAACTTGTCGCCTTACTCGAAATGGATTCTCTTGCTTCGCAAGTCAAAACTTTCCGTGATTCATATACTACAGTTAGGTTTCCGTACTAAACGCGATGCGCTAATCTCGTACCTTAATGTCAACTCCATACAGTAAAGCCATGACAAGTTAACGTATCGAACAGTTGAGTTTCTCGCGACCGAATATTGGAAATTATAGTGAAAATGAAATATTCTCAGCGAAAAATTGGGCCAGAGCTTTGAACGAAAGATGAGCGCTTCACGACATCAGTAGCATAGATCTGCAATTGGCATCTAATGATCAAATTAGAGAGCAATATAAAAGCAAATTTGCACAACAGCGTTAGGTTCCCAAGACTTCATGAAAGGCAATAATCTAAGAAATAAAAATTCAAAAATTCATCAACCGCCAATCAGTGGTCAAGATACGTATTTGTTTATGCCATTCAATGAAGAAAAATACTGCAAAAAACGTAGCATTATACTGAAGCCTCCGCTAAATAAACACAAAACTACATCAGCCATGAAACCGATCGCTCTACTGATACCAACGTCACCTTAATACAGACAGAGTTTTACATTGCCACTGGAATGTGTATACTCGAGGACGTGAAACACAACCCAGTAAACGTTAAGGCATTGTTACCTGATTTGAGTAAAAAGGGCACGCATATTATATAAAGATAGGAGTATCTACGTAACAAAATAAAGAGTACACAAGACCTGCGAATCCTAGGGAAGTTACCTCAAAATAAGTGATAACCAAACTCTGATCTCTGATTACAAGATGCTACAGCAAAAGGCAATACAAATAACAACAAAATGTCCCATAAAATACTCAAAGGCAAGGATTTATATTCCTTCAACACATGGCAAGAAATTCAATGCAAATAAATTCTCACAAAATGTTATCTGGAGAAAACAATGGAAAGAATAGTACGGAAATAATAATTTAATTCATAACTTTTGTGAAGTAAATATCACTGTTAAGATTAGCAATAATCTATTTGAAATAACATGACTACCGGTACCCAGTTTCTACTTGTATTGCTCCCCTGCAGGAGATGTGCAAGGGAATTAATATTTTAATTTGTCTCTAGCTATGACACGGATTAAGTCTCAACTAGAACGTGTTTTGCATTTAACCAATTTGGAAAGCATTCGAACGTTCAACTAAATTTCCTAATAAATTCTAAGCTTCCTCAAGAGGCAAAATATGTAATGAATGGAAGAAATATGAAACTAATAATTAATTCAATGGAGATGAAGTATCCAAAGTGTGTAAGACTTGGGCACAATACTTCATTTCAGATTCCGATTTATTGAAATATTACTTTTTTAAATTTCCACTTAACTATACTGAATAGAAAAGGTATGCGTGTCATGACACCATCTGAGGTTAGTGTGAAGCATATTCACACCAGATGTCAATTAGAACCACAAATTCACCGTTTCTCTCTAGCTTCTCGATAAAATAGTTTATATAAAACCTGCTTATCATTCTTTAATAGGGTACATGACTCATATATTAGCTGGAAGCAAACAAGCCACAAGAAACGAAGTGGTAGCTAGAAGTATTTCAAGAGCAGATAGAGAACGACAAGTACAATGAACATGCCACCAAAGAGAATATATTTATCCTGAGCACCTCTCCTCTCAACAAGCCGCATGATCGTGTTGCTCATGCCTAGAGTAGCGGCCAAGTCAAGCACTCGCTTGTGAGCTCCTTTGAGGACTGAGCCTTGGTCCCGGAGACCCTCCAAGATGTTGCTGCCAGCACTCAACATCTCGTCCACATACCGGTTAGAGGACTGCACAGGTCAAGCTAATTATTTCAATGCATTTAATTTGCATACATCACACTTAGATGATTGACACTCAGGTATATTAAATAAACCAATTGCAATAATTTCCCGGATCACAAAATTCGATTAAATACATACAAGATTAAAAAATGTAACTCAGTACTCACTGCAGTGAGTGACAGAGAACGCATTTTCTCATCGACAAAAACGAAGTCACGGACGGACGGACCAAAAGATGGACATGGCGAGCACAATAATGCATTTTTTTCCATAAATGAGAAAATGCGCTATAAAGTACCTATCAAGTCTTTGGTTATGGAAAGCATTGAAATGACTACTCTTGAAATGGACATAATTTAGACTGTAGATTCTCTCTTAGATCACATGATGCAGAAATATTTCCAACTGGCAGGAAGAAAGCCACACAATTAATTGATTCAACACATAAAAATATAATTAGTGATCAACTCCAGCTGGAAGTAGGGACAGGAAATCATTGATTCATTGACTATCATTCTAATAGAAATATTAAGCTTGTTTACCTGGAGCCGGTTGTTATGCTGTAAGGAGTAGTCAAGACTAATGGTTGTGTGATTGCTGTCATTAGTGGTGAAGCTCCTGCTCAGAAGTTCTGCTCGTTCTTCTTCTTGCTGACGTTTCAATGCCCGGCGTTGCTGGATCATTCGTAGAGAATTCTGTGGAAAATCAGTTCAATATTGGACCTTTCCTAATATTGAGTAAAGAGTAGCAGAATTTAATTTTATTGCTCAAACAGAGCCTGAAACATGCACGAATATTCTTATTAATTACGTAATTGGAGCCTGAAGAATGATCAAATTTCTAGTAAACCAATCAAGAAAGATTGCACAATAATGTCACAGAATTAATTACAATTGACAACAGCATTAAAAAATGTGTAAAAAAATGAACCCCAATGATGAGGTGTTCAACAGATCCTGGTTGTAGAGAATCAAACATGTTTGTATTATACTTAACTTCTCAAACACATAAATGACTTTATTGACATAATTCAAGTGCTATGAGCACAAAAGAAAAAAATTTTCGTCTAAGAACCAAGAGCTCTGAGAATTAAATCATACCATTATATGTTGACAGTCGTACTTGAGCTGGTCAACTCTGTATTTGGCACTGCTTCGGCGCTGAGGAGGCTCTTTGTTCACTAAAATATCTAGCCGAGCACAGTTGCTGTAAAAAAATGTGAACAATGAGAATGAATTATAAGAGGTAAAGAGATTGGATAAGTCCAATATTGAACTTAAAGAGAACTGATACAGCAGGAGATTGAACAGATATTCTAAAATTTTGTGATGTTGATAGTTCAAAATTTAATTAATACAATTTGGAGACATGAGTCAGAACTTGCATACAAATTTTTGACATTATGCTTTGCTCATGTCTCAAGTAATTAGAAGTTTAATATATTGCTCAAAAAGTAGATAATAGAAATTGGGACCTTTTTTCACATATATAATAACATCAAGAATTTTACCTGTTGACTTCCTCAAGCTTAGCTTCCACTTGTTTTTCAACATCTTCTCTGCTGGGATCATCTCCAAGCCTCTCAATGCGACCCAAGTCTACACCTGCCACCTCCTGAAGCAATCTGTTGGTTTGGTGGTATAGTGCATCCATGGATCTAGTATTCCCTCTTCAAACTTTTAAAACTATCCCACAGAGTGACTGAGGAAATTTTGAATCTGTGTAACCTTTTGTGACCTGCAAGTTAAGATGGTGAATATACTTGGCTGACATAAATCATCATGGGATCAAAAATTTTCCATAAATATAATGTTAAAATTTTACATGTAAATGGTAATCTTTGGTTCAAACAACTGCTGCATTATCAAACAACTAGATAATTGAGTTAAATAGGCATTAGAGTTTTATATGAGAACAATTTCCTTAGGAGACCCACCACCACCACCAGGCTGGTAGCAACTGAGGAAGTGTCAGAATTTACAATATCTCTGGTTACAAACTAGCATTCAATTTAATGCCTTGCAAAGATCTTATATCAACAAGCCTTTTAAAATGGCATTACAAATATTTGTATTTTCCCTATGGCAACATGAATTGAATTGTCTTAATTTCAAGAAACTGTTGATGCTATGTAGACCAAAAACCCTGTAGTTGTGCAATTCTATTCAGAATGTTTGGCTCACTAAATACACTAGTCATCCAATCAATGACTGCTCCATAGCCCAAAAATTGATTATCATGCATTACTGGTAAATGACACTCCTACCAGTCTGTCAAGCAGCTGGGTCCTGCAGCATCTATGACTCACAAACATAATTTTGGTAGTCAGGGAATAGTTCTATCAGAAAAAAAATATACCTGAAATTTTTGGAACATTATGTCAGATATTCCAGATTGGCATTTCCATGGCCCATTCCACATTTCTCCAGTTAAATAAGAATAACAGCACAATTTTGCATATAATTTCTGAAAATTCTATCTGATATTTTATATTAGGCTCTCTATTTACTGAAAAATTTAATTCGCTTTTGCTGAAAATTAACATTTTTTGCTGAAAATTTGAAAAAAGGCAATATTTTCCACAAGATGTTTTTCAAGTTTCTTATAAAATTCCAATATTCCAGATTATTTTCCTCAAGTCATGAGAAGTTGAGAACCCAAATTTATAGGAAATAGGCAAAATTAAAACTAAGAGATTAATAAAATAGATAGGAATGTTTCAATCTTTCCCTGAGATTTTACTGATAAATGATGATATTAACAAATTGCAAGATTTCAACTTCTACCAATAGGCAAACTGGCAAAGTACCAAAATAGAACCAAACATTTCAATCAAATGTAGAACCAAACATTTCAATAAAAAAATTAGCAACTTTCTAATACTATGGACTCTCCTGAGTCCCCGACCCAGAGTCCTGATTATGACAGAGCACTCCAATTTCACAAAAGCTTGTTTTCTTTTATATATATATACTCAGGCTGGAATTCTAAGAATGGAAGTTCACTTATAAAAAAGCTTTCCACCCAAGGTGAAAAGCTTTCCGTTGATAATGTGCTCTGCCATGTAACTGACTATAAATGTAAAGATGGATCATAAGTGGACAAACTGTTTCAATTGTATAGTACATCAGGTTTGTTATAGAATAATTTGGATGTCTCTTGTTTGATAGATATTTTTTATTTTTATTTTATTTATTGGATTTTTAGAAGATTTTCCAGGCCCTTTGTTCATAATGATCAAGTTTTAAGTTAAGTACCGTATTTAGTTAACCAGTACTGTAGCACATATACCATATTTGGGGGGCGGGGCTTATGGAAACAACCAATCACAGCTTGAAAGCATCCCCATCAACCAATCACAGCTTGAAAGCATCCCCATCAACCAATCACAGCTTGAAAGCATCCCCATCAACCTGTAAAGTTCCTGGCCTTTCCAAGCTTTCAGGTCCTGCTTTCCAATATGCTATGTGTACTGGTTAATTTAATATCCCTCTAGAATTCCACACTGTATAGGTATACTTGTTATACTACGGAATGGCACGATGAATTTTTATTGGACAGTATGGCTGGCATGGAATATATCTACTGTACCTTCAATCTTTAGAGCTGAAAATTGCAATTAGTGCTTGCTTTCCTGCCATTTTAGGAAATTGAAAGTTTAGAACTGAAAGATTCATGTTAGTCGTTAGATGAATTACTTATTATCTGATTCTAATTGCCAACAAAAGTGAAAATTGTACAATCAGGCCACAAAAGTTCAAATATTTTAACACAGTGGCACACATGGGCTTTTTCTTACACTCAGTATCAGTTCAGTTTAAGCTGGCTGATCTAGTTCAAAATTTCATTCACTATCCTATTTGAGATTTTGAGTTGATGCTCATGCCTCACGTCACCATCACGCCATGGTGCAGACTGCAGAGGGTGGATGCAACGTCACCAATATATGGGTTTTTAAGCCCTAAGCGTTGCCAGGTAATTTTAAGATGCGTCACCGGGTAATTTTTAATGAAAAGCCATTTATGCTGAGTAATGAAAAACTATTTACAAGCCATGAACTTATTTACAAGGTTGCATGCACGTGTTACCTGATGCCAGAAAGCGCGATGGATTCAATTTAGTCGTTTTTAATTTGAAATTGGTGTCAGTTCTGTGCAATAGGATCGTAAATTTCAGTGTAAAACCCATAGTGACAAACCAGAGATTTTTTAGAATCAGTTGAATTTCAGTTCATTTTTAATTTCCTCATTTACCCAAGATTTAAACCAATTTTTTATGTATGATGATGCTGGTATCCAGGATACTTTACTGGTCTACTTATAGGACTCAAAAATGAGCTTGAGAGAGAGTCTAAAAAACTCTCTGCTTTGCCACTATGGTAAAACCTATTAAAATTTTACGTTTCTGTGTGGATTTTGATGCTGTTAGCATTGAAATACTTGACAGTATCTCTGATGCAAGAAATACTGGCTAAATNGAAATTGGAGTCAGTTCTGTGCAATAGGATCGTAAATTTCAGTGTAAAACCTATTAAAATTTTACGTTTCTGTGTGGATTTTGATGCTGTTAGCATTGAAATACTTGACAGTATCTCTGATGCAAGAAATACTGGCTAAATACATTTTAATTTAGAAATTAACGTCAATCGAAAATTCGAAATTGCTGCTGTCAGGGCTATATCGTTTCTTGCAAACCGATTGTTGCATCCAGTCGCTTATATTGAAAATAAAATGATTTAAGCAAGTATTTCTTGCATCAGAGATAATTAAAAGTTTGCTAATGTTAACAGCATTATAATACATGCAGAAACGTACATTTTTTTATAGATATTAAAAATTTAGGCTCTATGACTTGTATACTATGTCTATCACAGTCTATAGGATTTTGAATTGCTGCATGCATTCAAATTCAAATTAGATCAGTGTAGCTGTCAGCTCACCTTCTTCAGAAGTGTGAAAGCTTTTGCTGGTGAAGGTTGTGTTTTACGATCGGTCCATAAAGAAGTGTTGATCGGTTCAAAATGACATAAGAACAGGTTCTTTTGAATAACCTATGGATTGGCACCATGGTCACGGGCATGCTTAATTGCTCCGAACAGGGCTGGCCGGCTGGGAAGGTCAACAGTCAACTGACAACAAAAAACTCTCTGGTTTGCCAACTATGAATTTTTACAAAGGTAAATATATAAAAAATTTGTCAATTTGGAGCAAGAATATTACCTATAGGTTAGGTTAGTATTCATAACTAGCCTACTAGGAAAATTGCAATCCTGCAATATGAATATGGTACTGGGCCACTACTGCCCTGGACAGTACTGGTGTGGACTGTGGAACTTTTTTGTTGACTTCTTAGCCGTGGGCCAGTGACTACTGTGACTAGACTAGACTGTGAACTCGAGTCACTTGACTTCTGATTTACTAATTACTAGTTACGATATAACTAAACAAGTAAACAGTAAACGTAAACAGAAGCCTTAACTTAAGTTAAGACCTCTTCTTCTAAGTTCTAGTTAGTTGGTACTTCGTATTTTAGGGGAGCCTCGAAACGCGTCTATGAACAGCAACGCCACAATGTGACGTAGTAGCATGAGGAAGTCGGGAGTAGTGGCCAGACAGGCCAGTGTTACGTAGCAAAGAAAGTGACAGGACTTCATAAGGTTTCGGTTATACACGTCTGACATATGTCGAAACCGGCCCCGCACCTCCAGAATCCGAAAATTCCCAGCAAGAAATTAAAATGTAGCGTATCATTTTCACTTGTGAAATAATTTATTAAAGCAAACAAAACCCAACGTCATTTGCGCAAAATGGAAAAGGACAATGGAAAAACAAAATGGAAATGCGAATCACAGACATGATTTGCTATCATACGTTTGATTGCCACTACTCAAATTTTACGTACGTTAGTTGTATAAATGGCAAACTAAGTACTAAACACCATTCTACAGAATTAAAGGAGATGAGCGTAGCCATTGCACTTCGCCTAAAGGCTAAACAGAGTTTAACACACGCGAATTATAATCGGTACCCTGCGTTGAAGATCAATGGATGACATTGATGAAATCAGAAATGTTCTTCCGTTTACTCAAGTCAATTGTTTGCGCTATGGTAATCCTAGTATTATATAACAGTAGTTATATAATAGTATAAAAGTTACGTTGAGGCAGATTTGTATTTGTCCTCTTTTTCAAATGCCACGGTTTACCGCATGGCATGAACAGCTACTTCGGATCAATGCTTTGTAGTATTGTAAATGATATAACCGAAAATGGTGGCTTTACCGCAGTACAGAGGAAACAAAATAATAAGAATTTACTTCGTCATTAACAGCATATAAATGCAGTTCTTCAGCAAGATCGTTTTTTTATACAAGCAGCGATCTAATCAACGCATTACTTCTGGTGATCTTTCAAACGATTTTAAACCCCGGATTCGTACAAAGCATCAGAAGATGGGGGTCAAATTAAACGGGTACGACGGCAAAGTAGCTTATCACATTCCGGATAATTAAACACATTGTTAGTTGTAGAATATTAAAACGAAGAGGTCAAGGTGGAGGAGTCTATAAAGAACTATTTTTTAGCAAAGACTATTTTCATGGCGTGAGTGGGTGTAATTTTAAAGCCTTGCAGGGCTTCTTTAGCCGTCGCTGACTGTATCTCATTCTCAAACTCCACAAAAGCGATGTCGTGGCGGCCAGGTACCAATCGTACTTCCTTAAAACCGGGAAATCTGAAAGGAAATAGTAAAAAAGTTAGTTATATGCGGTATTCAACAGAGAGTTATCTCCACCCAAAATATACCGTAATGTAATCAACTGATCTTATCAAGACTGAGACATTTGAAAAACGAGAGAGATCGCACAATGTTACCTGAATTTAAATTTATGCAGCATGAAACTCACAAAATGGATTATCTGGTAAAAAAATATCTTCCTTGGAAGTCGTAAACAAAAATTACAAGCAAAAACGCCAATTCTTTATTAAATATCAGGATATTTGCATGAAGAATGTACCATGGAGGCCAGAATGTGGCATTAATATTGCATTTTGCCTCGGCAATAATAAGCAGACTGCTGAGCGATGCTATAGAAATATCTCAAATACTCTCAACATACTGTGTGAAGAGCATAGAGAGCATCATCTCGGAGGTCTCATCTGGCAGGTTGGTGAGGAAGAGGATCTGGTTTGGTGGCTGTTCAGGCACGACGCCTCCAACGCCTGTAGCTCCAGAGAACAGCGTCGAACGTGCCGCCGCCGGTTTTGCTGAAACAAAATTACAACTTATCAATACATTCCTTTGAATCTATGATTAAAACAGAGTTCAGGAAGTAAATTGTTCACTTTGATATTCAGAATATATGAGCCAGTCAGATAGAGTCAAATCTCAAAGCATGATTTTGCACCTGCATATTTAAAAAAAAAAACTCTGCAAAAAATTTAGTACACATACCTAATTATGTTATTTTTTAAGGAAAATTTCGACGAACTTGAAGATAAAAAATGCTTAGCCTTAGAGCCAGCACTAATTTTTAGATTCTACAAGTTGTTGCTGCTGCACCTAAATCAAGAGTTCCATACTTCCGCTTAACTCGTTACCATTTTTGCTTTGATTAATCACCTAAGCAAAAAGAGGGTCAAAGTTTATACGCAAGAGTCAAACACTGGCAATGACATAACAATACAATAAGAACTCGACATTTCGGAGAGCTGTGACAAAGATAACAGTGATGGAATAGATCACTCACGAGGCTGAGCAGCGAGGCTGATACCGCCGCCAGCAGCAGCTAGTGCGGAACCTGCAGCCGCGGTGGCGGGAGCAACAGCAGCAGAAGTCGCAGCAGATGCGGCAGCAGCCGCAGCAGCGGCAGCCTTTGCCTCCTTCTTCCTTTTCTTTTTGTCATCTTTGTTCTTATGCGCCCGTTCCTCATATGTACCCTTTATTTTAGCAATGACATCCGAGTCACTCTTTGAGTACGCAATTTTCTTGAGGGAAATAAAAAGAAAGGGATTTTAGTACATGGAATTTTTCAAAATTCTTCAAAGCGATGGTGAAGCAATTTCAGCCCCAGGTTTCCTGGGGGGCCCCATTTATCTTCATTAGCAAATTAACTTTGCTATTTGAGTGCAAGGATGAATAGAATCATCATGTAGAAGCTCCCAAACAATACTGATGGCTAGTGTACGGTATACTAAACGAATGGTAATGAGCTAGTAAAACTGTTGCAGAAATTTTATGAATAATATACCTAATCAAAAGAAAAAGTTTACAGTGTATATATATATCAACACTTAATTTCAAACCTGGGACAAATATGCAATGCGTGAACTAGAATTTAATATTCTAGCATCAATCACTATTCAGAGTTGAATAACTTACTAGTGAAATAACCAAACAGTAGGATGATAGATTTCTAATTCTTAAAAATATATTAGTCCAGCACACTAATGAGTTTTCACTATAAGATAATATCAGTGTTGAAGCTTGGTCTATGAATGAGCTCACCATTGGTTTATCATAAAAAGGAAAGCCCTGCATGGCTCGTAATGCAGTGGTTGCACTGTGGATTTCCTGGAAAACGACAAAGGCTTGCCCTCTCATCTTCAGAGTCTTGAGAGCAATGATGTCCAATATTTGTCCAAACTGAGAGAAGATCGCATACAAGGATTTCTTAAGCTCTGAAAAAAATGAAATATTCTTGTCATCACACAAGATAATTTATGTTAGCAATAAAGAGATACAAATTTGAAAAGGATAAATTCAAGAGAATGATAGAGCTGCATATAAATAATAAATGTTCTAACATAATAATTGAGTTAGTATAATAAACAAAATCATCAGAAAGGACCTGGAACATCAAGAATTCCAACTCTGCTCAAAAATTAAACTTGAAAAAGACAAAATTATTTACAACTAAGCTATTCAGAGTACAAGGAAATAAGGATATAGGAACTAACAGCTCATGATTCTTTTGGATTAGTATACTTTCTTGTGCGTCATCATCGATTAATTAGCAACACTAGACAGTGCCAGTCAGAAATTCTAGGATTAAACTTCAAGTTACTGGAATACAAATTTTTTGGTCAGAAATTTCTCTACTATCACTACTTACCTTCTTTTTTAACTTTTTCATTGAGGTTGTTGATATATATGGTGTGGTTGGGGCGAATGTCCAACATTATGGTGGTGTTGCAACTTCTGAAATAAATAATTTGATTAGGAGAGCACTAACACTTCAGCACCAGGGCATCAAAAATATAGCATCAGCCCAAGACTGCTGTCTTGGGGGCCATTTTGTCTACATTTGGTGCAGTTTACTAACTTCACCATATGAGTGCAAGGATGAATATTATCATCAGGAAAAATTAGATTACTAACTCTAACTTGAGCTATCCTAATCCAATTTGGCCAATATGGAATAGTGGGCAGAATTATCTAAACTGGAAAGTAATTGCAATAATTTAAAGGGCGATTTTCAAAAATTACAGGTGTGAATAGGCCATTTTTGGGAAATAGGAATTTTTGGGAATAGGCCTTCATTGGGAAAAGGCCTTATCAACCTAATATGGAATATTGGGCAGATTGGTAAAATTATGAGGAAAATGATCCTTTACAATTTATTTGGAATAAGTGTGTAAAAATTGTTATTAAAAAAAATTTGCCTTTTCCAAAATATTTTCAAAACTAGGCCGACAGGCGTCCCCGGAAGGGTACGCAGCCGTGCACCACCAAATTTGTGCACCAATCAGCCTTGGAAGGAATGCCTAGCATATTTCTGGATGACCACCAATCAGCCGTGGATTAAGCCCTATAACGAAATTGAAAAAAAGCTACAACAAATCTCTAGATCTTTTATTTGCAAATCAAACGTTATATTTTGCATTGCTGTAGCTTAAAAACTCTAGGAGGAGATAGGTTTGCAGTGACAATAAGTGAGGATGTTCAGTAGACGCTGACTGTAGTGTCTGTAGAGCGCAACAGTTCCAAGTGCCTTGAAATAGGCATTCAAGGTGGCATGGACACAAGTAGACTAGATGTTACTGGAGCTGAAATTCAGTCAAGGATGGTGGGAACAACTGCAACAGCACCATCCCACACAACAGCAGCCAGGTAACTAAAGATCAGCATCTTCAGACCATCTATTTATGTGCCCTGCCAGTAATTTTTTCCTATCGTAAATGTGAAAGAACTACCCCTGAGTCCCCCCACCAGTGCGGAATTCCAGAGGGGTAGTATATTAACTGGTGGACATAGCAAAATGGAAAGCATGACCTAAAATTCAGGAACGGCCAGCACACCTCCACTTTCAGTCCATCATCATCACTGACAAGTCTCTGCAAGCTGCCACAGCTGTTTGATTGGAAAAAAACAGAGCTTACATCATCACAGTAACAAGGATCCAATCAACGCTTGCACGCGTCCAACGTCACAGTCACATGAATCCAATCATCGCTTGAATGCATCCAACGTCACAGTCACATGAATCCAATCATCGCTAGAACGTGTGCAAAGCCAGTCACAAGAACCCAATTACCATCAGAACGTGTGCAACGTCACAGCCACTGGAATCCAATCAGCGTTAGAAAGCTAGAATGGACCGCCCCAAATGCACACATTGTTAACGCACTAATGCTAATTTAATGTGTAATGCTACACTTCTTATTTCAAGCGCCTAATACAATAATGTAGTTATGTCACTATTGATGAAAATTGCAAAGAATAACATCTTCACTTTGTACATTCACTCACAAATACATGAAAAACTGCCTATGATTTCATCAACAAATAAAAAACTGATCACTGATGAAATCAGCTGAGACATGAAAACTACCTACTTGCGATCAGGATTCAGGAATACCATCTGTACCGAAACAATAACAAAGAAGGTGACAAGTGACAGAGATACCAACAATATGATATCAATATACTCTGTGAAGAAATGAAAAATTTGAATTCTTCTATATTGTAAATTTTTAGTAAGTGACATTCAACAGAATGGTTTAATAATGGTCATAAATGTTATACATGCATTGCATGTAGTATCAATCGTGTGCAACGAAGCTGGCAGGAAAGCTTTTGGCCCAGCCTGGTTAGTTGACTTATGTAGTTCTCATTACGCAACCGGAATAAGTGGATTTGGTAACTACGATGCAGATGAAACTCCCGCCCACGCTGACCAGTGGACACTTCAGTTTTATACTCCTTAGGTTTTATTCACACACTTCGAGACTATTATTGAGTGAAAACTTTACGTGATATATTGTGAGCCATCTAAGTTCTAATAATGTATAAAATAAGAGGTTAACAGAATCTAAAGGTTTGAATGCTAAATTTTCCAAGTATGCTACTGGTAGTCTAGTCAGTCAACTGAGTCAAGTGTCATGTTGATGTTGTTGTTGTGCATTGCTTCTTCTTTGATAAGTTTCTCCAATTGCCGATGAATTTATCCTCATTTTGAAAGCTGACATAATGGATAGGTGCAATAAATGTTTTTTTTAATATTTAATTTGCAACCATTATGTCAATTGTCAAGAGTAAATAGTATAAGGGCCATATTTAGTTCTTGCCGATGAGCTGTTAGTTTACTTTGAGTAAGGACTAAGGAGAGTGGAGAAAGTGAGACTTTATTGCCATTCATTACTGACTGATGGCAGTCATTATTTAATTCAAGCATTTGTGCTTAGCTCTGTCTATTGTATTTGCTAAAGCTGATTGCTTAAAATGAAAGAAAACGCAATTTATAAGACTAGTTTTAACATGTTGATAGGAATAGGAGTCTGCAACTGCATAGAGTTGGACTAGGAGTTGACTTCATAAGGATGCGCCGCACGGCGCGTAAATGTTAAACTGTTCAACTAATATGATACAAAGGCATAGATTGCATGCAATTGGGTTCGCGTTCGTTTGAGCTGGTTGGGAGTCAGACGCTAGCATATCTTCCAAATCAGCTTCAGGTACGATTTTCAGAAATAATGTACCCAATTAAAGAGTAGATTAATAATGACCGTAGAAGAAAATAATTTTGTGTGCTCTGAATCAACTGGTCAAACTCCGAAGAACTAATACATCAAGTGCTCTTAATCAACTGGTATATAGGTAACTTTTGCATTCGAGTATATTGGCCAGATCTAATGGAACTTTTTTCAGAATCAAGAGTACATCCTTTACCAGCTGCAACGCTGTGAGGCCTCCTCAAGATCTCCTTTGCTCACCGGAGAGTGACGCGTCTCTATTTGCGACCTCGGAAACGTTCATGCCGGGTGCAACGCTTATGCAACCTTCCCAAGATCTCCCTTGCTCATCGGTGACTGTGAGTGACGAGTCTCTACTGGTGCCAATAGCAACCTTGTAAGTTGTAACTTCTACCAAGCATAACGAGTGCTCTTCTTTCAATAGATTCCTCTTGCTTATCCGTGTCACCGTGAGTGACGCGCACAATTAACAATCTTGGGATCTTTTCTGTGTTGCCTGACGTAACGTTCATACCGATTGCCGAGGCGGGGCCAATTTCTGACAAACCGCAAACCTGTTTCTAGTTGCCTGGAACATTTTTTTTCAAGGCAAAATGCTTTTTTTCAAGTGAACCTCTAATCTTAGATTTCCACTCTGCCCCCCACCTCTAACCCATTTGCAAACTGTCATCAGGCATAAATCAACGTACAGAGATGATTTATTGATTTTGGTACCGTTGGAACTTGGCTACGGCTACCTAGGTCAGAATGTCAGCTTTAACAGTTTAAGGCAAGACTAAAAACCAGAAAAGTGAAATTTGCGATTTTTGACCCAGAAAATCAGGTGGTAAAGGCTAAAGGGTTAGGCTAATGCATGGTGCCAATCCATAGGTTATTCAAAAGAACCTGTTCTTATGTCATTTTGAACCGATCAACACTTCTTTATGGACCGATCGTAAAACACACCTTCACCGGCAAAAGCTTTCACACTTCTGAAGAAGGTGAGCTGACAGCTACACTGGCCGTGGGGTGTGGGTGGTCATCATGAATTACGAGGTAAGAGTGTAAGGACTTAGCAAAGCTAGAATCATGGCTGAGCCTCTGAGGCAGTGAGGCTTAACCGATGTCATTGTAATTTTTTATGTCGTTGATATCATTGTGGAACCAATGTAAGTAACTAAGGAATTTCCCAGTTCAAATATTTATTGATTTATTACTATCAATTTCGAAACTCCACATTTTTCTAAAGGGAGTTGTGATGAGACCATGGGGATGGGGCCAGGGGTCGAACTGTTGAGTTTAGACCATTACAACTTGCAAGAGGGGCCCAAGGGCCAAGGGCATGGGGCCTTGCGAAGGGTTAAGACCGACGCACGGCGGTGGACCGATAAGTACTCACAATAATTCCCTGCCACCATGGGCTAATGAAACTTGACACTTTTTTGCCAGGTTTCTTCTAGTATCCTACTTGTTTCACAAAATAGGTCTATCAAAAATTAGGGTAAACGCGGTATATTCTGACACATTAAGGGCGCATAGAGAAATGAAAAACTATAAAAAAAAATGAATGCGTTACGTAAGTTCTGTTGCCTTCACATGACTCTCAAAACACTTCACTACGCGTCAGCAACAATCAGTGTGGAATTCTAGAGGGATATTAAATTAACCAGTACACATAGCATATTGGAAAGCAGGACCTGAAAGGTTGGAAAGTCCAGGAACTTTCCACTTCCAGTCCAATGTATTATATACATGATACATATCCTATCACTTTCAACTGTGATTGGTTTATGGGATTGTGATTTTAGCCCCTTCCAGCTTTCCAGCTGTGATTGGTTAATGGAGTTGTAATGTTATCTGCTTTCTAGCTGTGATTGGTTGCTGGGGATGCTTTCAAGCTGTGATTGGTTGATGGGAATGCTTTCAAGCTGTGATTGGTTGTGCCCATAAGCCCCGCCCCTAAATATGGTATATGTACTACAGTACTGGTTAACTAAATACTCAACTTAAACTTGATCATTACAAACAAAAAGCTTGGAAAATTTTCACAAAATTCATTAAATAAAAAAATAAAGAAAATCTATCAAACAAGAGACATTCATACAATTTTATAACAAATATGAGGTACTATACAATTGAAACAGTTTGTCCACTTTTGATCCTCCTTTTCATTTATAGTCAGACTCAGTCACCTGGCAGAGCACTGTATCTAAGGAAAGCATTTCACCTTGGGTGGAAAGCTTTTTTATAAGTGAACCTCCATTTCTAGAATTCCACCCTGGCAACAATGAAACATCACAAAATGTTGCCATATTTATTAAAAAGCCTTTAGAATGGAAACCTACCAAATCCCTATATTCCGTCACTGTGTGTGGCAATATTTGACACGTGGTGAGTCGTATTGCATCAGCGCTTCAAATTTAACTGATACGTAATGCCGACATCAACGTGTTCAAATTCCGTTCGCTGTGTGAGCTGTATTGGGATACAACACAGCTTTGAATTAGAACACTAACAAATATTGAACACTACTTAATTACGTTTTAATAAACAGCTATTAGGCTTTTAATTTAGCAAATTTCAATTTTTTTACAAAGCTTTGAACGATCTGTGTGTGTCCAATTCAAGTTGTGTCGGAATTAGTTTTTTCGACACGCAAATGTATGACGTCACCATTTCAACCATCAATGAACGCATGGAACTAAAACAAAGCTTAATATAAAGGAAAAACTAGAGAAGTGACGGAATTACCTACGATGTCGGAATATACCGCGTTTACCCTACACATGGTCACAGTGGACATGATTATACAATTCTAGATCTTGAGTTGCCATTACAAATTAGTTTTACTAATTTGTTAAATTGCCAGCCTGGTAGTTTAGTAGCAATAACTGTAGCATACCTAGTCTATGGCTATGCTAGTAATAATAATGCTACTACCAATGTCAAACTAAGGCCTCATGTTCTAACCCAAAATCACGAATCAAGTCACGAAAAATTCAAGAATCGGCAACAGGCCATGGGCCTATTTCTTCAGTGGATCAGTGCTGACATTTCTATTCTACCTATAAGGCCATATTCTTCCAGATACTATCAGAACAGATTGCATCAAAGGCTCAAATACAAGTGATTGAAAAAATATGAACAAAAATTAGTATGCTCATAGGAATATGGTTCCAAGAAGTCCTCACCTTAAATGAAAAAGTATTGGCAACGTTTCCACTCCTCACTTTAACCGTATACTATTGCGAAACACAGCTTGACGTATACGCATTCACAAACGTTCCCTATGTACACGCCGACGCCGCTTGAACAATCTTGTATCTTAAAACTCCCTAGAACTTCGTTTTACCCTAAGAAGCAAAATGACGTCATAGCACATCCTGCGCGAAGTGGACTCATTAGATATATATATATAATTATAACAACTAAATTAATTTGTTCAATTTTCATTTTATAATTTTTAAGGTTTGATAAATAGTCTGTTCCCCGTGCATGGTAAATTTATTGAAAATAATCTAGGGAGTAGTTAAGTTACAACCGGAGGTATCCTTAAAAATCATTGATTTTTTTTTATCTAACACGGGATAAGCTAAAATAATTATAACAAATTCCTATGCCTGCCTATACGTTGAAAGATTAATTAATTTCTGGCAATTTCCTTCATAAAATTCATCAACGTGTTGATCGGGCTCGCCAAGCTGAAGCGTATCTACGTAAGCTACGCCGCCATCTTTGCAGCACACTCGCGCTTTAGCTTACTCTTTCGTTCCTACACGTTTGGATGTTTTGGTGTCAATGGAAAAAGAAAGAGCAAAGCAGAAAGGATTAACTTCACATTAGGCTATTGTCAAAAACTCCTTCCTTCAGCGAAAGATTGGAATTTAAGAAAATTGTTCGACATTAACGATGTTCATCCCTACGAAGTGCCGGCAAAGCAGTGGTGTGCAAATTTTACAAGCCTGCCTCCCGTTTCACATGGTGATTTACTAAAATATTTGATGTTTGGTGGTCAGCCAATACACATTGCAAGAATTCAAGGCATACAAGACGCTTGAAGCTTTCAAGCAATTCGTGGATGGGTGGGTGCAGGAGATTGAGAAACGAAACCTCAACGAATAAAGAGGCGATTTACTTGGTAGTTAGTTTGGTAGTACAACTGGACGAAGAGGAAAATGATGATGAATGAATGGACATTCTTCTAAGAATGGAAAATGAATTAAACCTAGGGTATCGCCTTCTTGAAGAGGAAAAGGATAGGATTTTATCAATGCTTACCAGGGTTCGGACGGCAATTAGCAAAACCGATCCCGATATTGGACGCGCACATGTGACACCTCAGACCACGGAACTGACCAACAACACACCAATTTACCAGAAACCATGACGTTTTGCAGAACCAATCAACAATTAAATTGAAAGGCTATGTAAAGAACGCGAAACAATAGATATCATAACATAGCCAATCATTATGATCTTCCCAAAAACCAGCCAACTGCAACAACACTGTCATTGCTGTCAAGGTGAGGATAATGGATCATGACAATGTAATCTGATCTGTAAATATTATTAATTTATATTCTTACTTATGTAGCTTATCTAGTGGCAAGTAACCGATTTTGCCCCTGTAAAATATATAGTATCGTATATCATAAATATTCACGGCTGGGAAACTGATATACGATACGTATATCAGTACGATACGTAACCTGATAAGATTTACACGGCATTCACGGCTGGAAAACTGGAGAAACGCATTTAATTGTCCGGTTTTCTGTTTAAATAGTTGTTAGAACGACCGGTGCATCCAACAACGGCGCAGTAGCGTCCCATCTTCAAGCAAAAACTTCAAAAAGAGACAGGAGCAGTAGATTTAACGCGTAGGCGAAAGCTAGACCATGCAACAAATATGGCGGCCGATCCCATGGCGGCATCTCGCCATTCCGTGCCGTGACGTCATCTTTCCAAGGCCGTAAAGTTTATCCTCGACTTAACTGCGATTGAAAGTACTGTGATCGGTGAAACTAGAAAACCATCGGATTAACTTTGGAATTGCTTTTTTATTTCAATCCATAGTTTGGGACGCCTGTCGGAGACCACCACTGCCCAGCTTCGAATGGACTATCATGATCCCTTCCTAGAAGAACGTAGCCTACAATACTTCTTGACTGTAACATTATCAGCCGCACGCCACCTGACAGATCACATCCATTGAATTATACCAATCAGCCCACAGGAAAATAGCCTGACGTCGTATGGCCCAGGGTCGTCTGCCAATATGCGAAAAAATTTTACACCACCCGGACGGAGCGCGCCGGAGCCGTCCGTATCTGTCCCATGTGTCGAATCAGCCTACGGTCGAACGGCCACGCACCGCACGACGATAAATTTTGGAACAGAACTATGCTATCTGAAACCTTCGACGGCAGATAGCATCGAAGGCCATTCGAAGCACGGCAGTGGTTGTCTCCGACAGGCGTCCCGGCGTTTCCAAACTCTAGGTTTGGATAAACAGCAGCGTCGTCGTTTCGGCATATAGGAACTAGTAGGAGCGTCTGATCAGGCCAAGAAGTTTATTGGATTTATTTGCTTGCATTTCTATATGCCAAAAATTTCAGCTCCTTGTCGACATAAACTCCAAAGTATTTTTTCACGCTAGACTTTTCAATCATTACTCTTTCATTGAAACCATGTCTTCTCATACCGTAGTCCTGCTGTTCTTGTTCTTTCCGAGGTAGTTTACACTTGTCAGTATAAGCCCAGTAATCTAAACTATTAATATCATCTTGTAATTGCACTTTATTTGACGCATTTTCAACTGCATTATAAACATTTGTGTCAACGGTATACATAGAGCACACGCTTAACATTAAACTTCTGACATATTTTTCATAGAAACAACGAACATAACAGGCATAAGAACGTTTCCTTGTGGCACGTCACTGCGCACTGTTGCCCAGCCTGATACGGTTCCGTTAATAGTGACACCTTGTCGTCTACCTACTAGAAAATCTCTGATCCGTTTCCCTCAATTACCAAAGAATTCACTTTAAGCAATAGTCGCTCATGCGGAACACTGTCAAATGCTTTGACAAAATCGAGGTGCTGCATCCACTGGCTCTCTTTCGTCCAATCGTTTCGAGTCCAATCGTTCAACGTAGACAAGAGGTTACTGGTGCAGGATCTATCGGCAATAAAACCATGTTGACAGTCTGATAGGAGATGGTTAACAGTTAAGTGATCAACAATTCTTTACCTCACAACAGATTCCATTACCTTCCAAATAACACTTGTGAGACTGATAGAGCGATAGCTAGTACCGGGGCTACTTTTGACGCCTTTTAGAAAAGCTGTGCCACTTGGGCTTCTTTCCAATCGCCGGCAATCGGCCTGTAAAGTCCCTTCGTTCAAGGTTTTCTGAAAAACAAAGCAACAGGAAAATAATCCATTTCCAGAATTTCGATTTTTTATCATGCGCTTCATATTTTTTTCAGTTTAAATTGTTTCCAGCATTTACAATATAGAATCTCTGGAACATAAATCTATTCATTTAGCACAGTGCGCAGAAATGTCGGGACGAGTCCAGTATTTGTTTAGAACAGCTCATTTCACCTCCCACATCAACTCGATGGTGCAGTATTAAAGTGTGATTCACGGTAACTTCCTGTTATGTATTTCACGTAAAGCCGTCAGATTTTGCAGGACAAGAGCAAAGAGTATTTCTTATAAGAGGCAATGTCATGAAGTTTTGTATGCCGCCTAGTCAGTTGCCACTATGCATTAGACAAGTGAGCAGCATGCGTTTGCTGTCGAGGCGTGCTTTTCTAATGGCCGATCCATTATCGTTACTTAACGAGCATTTCGTATCCGGTTCCGTTTTCGTCCTTCAGATCGGGTTCCTGATCGGAAATCGATTGTTTCGTGGGTGAACGCAATTAGGGCAAGTGGAAGCGTTTTTATGGGTTTATCTTAGATTAATTGTTTACAATAACTATCCCTAAGAACCTAACTCATTTGAAGAACAACATGCGCTAAGCCATCGCCAACATACCCGTCAATAAGCTTCAGCGAGTTGAACGGAACTTCAAGAATCCACCAACTAAATGCTTTGACAATTGGGGCCGTCATTTGTCCGATGTCTTCTCTAAAACTAAGCGATGAAAAAAAATTCAGGTCATGTTTTTTCAGTAAAATATATATTGTAATTATATATTTACTAGTTATTTTTTAATGAGCTTTCAAATCAGGAGGTTTAAATCGAATTGTGATATAAATTTTATTCGTTCTTTTACAAATTTACAGCTTGAATAAAAATTCAAATAATAAATGAAGCCAAGTCCAAAAAATCCACGACTTTCCAAGTTCAAGAACAAACCAACATGAATTTTTTTTACTAGTAATTCCCTGACTTTTGATCGGGTAAGGCGTGTTTTTACTACCAAAAAGTCACAAATATATCTGTCTTGACCGGCAAAACAGGTGTTAACACAGCGCAGTGTTTTACTGCCGAAAAACTTATACGCCGGCCTTTTTACTGCTTAGCAGAATGCTGTAATGATGCGACCATGATGATATAGGTATGCGTCCGTCTGCAAGCCCGTATTGTGACTAACGACCTCCCATACAAAAACTTGCCCTATACTTGTCTTGACGTTTTTTTCGTCAATGAGCGCAGCTCATGCCTAGTACGGATTTAGAGTACGTTCCTTAAAGGTTGAACCCGTTACCTTTAATTACTACAACCCCTCCGAAACCCAAACCGAACTGCCCTACCTGTCGCCACCCGACCGAAAATTGACGGAGTTATGAAATGAATTAGAGGATAATTTCACTGGAAATAGTTCGAAGAGTTACGAATAAGGACGACAGATAAAAAATTACCATTCCGCATAGTAATAATTGTTAACATTAAATGCAAAATATAAAAATTTTATAGTTTTAAAATGAAATGCCGCATAAATTAAAGTTACAACGAATTAATACAGACTGAGAAATCGAGAAATATATTGTGAAAATAATTACAGTGAGCTAATTGAATTACGGGCAGTGATAAAATTACCATTATCGGTAGAAAAATTGGCAGTGACATGGACCTATTTTTTTCTAATACTTCATATATTAAACTATGTTACGTTAAGCCATGTAAATAATGTAATAAAGCAACATCATCCGATTGGCCAAAGGTTAAGTCATGACCAATGGCTTCACCTGATACAGAGCTACATGCTGTTTGAAAATATGAGGGCCTAAAACTACAAGGAATTCCCCTCGGAAATTATCATTAGCGTTAGAATATATCATGACTGCCACGAATGAAGCAATAGTAATGCTGGTTAGAGTACCTCC